TAAAGTGAATTATTTAAGATATATCGTGGATTTTTGTAATATTTTAAAAGTTTTTAAGGGTAATAACGAACACACGACTTACCTGATTTTAAGTGAAGGCTGTAGCCTATAGACATCTACATTTATCCTCGATTGCCATCTTTAACACGTTTTTAAGTGTGTTTTCAGAGGCGTATTACAAAAAAAAAAAAATCGAAATTACAAGGTTTTCTCGTCGAAATTGTATGTTTTTCGCTCGTTGATGGAAATAACAATTACTTGTCAAAAATAGTCCGTTTTCTCTTCCACAATAAGCTGAAGCTTCTACAATAAGAAAATTTTAGATAACTTATTTATTTAATTAGTAATAATCATTCTCTCGATGCATTCAATAAAGTAAATGGGGCTCTGCGCTCTTTTGTGAAAAATCAGGATGTGTCAAAAAAGGCATGTATGACAATTCACAATGCTGTGTTAAGCGGGCTACATACGACACGATATCGGTGGCGATCTAGGGTGGAGTAGTGGGGATGCCTCCTAGATTGCCTCTAAATCGTGTCGTATGTAGGACCATCCTAAGTCGTGGCCGATATCGCCTCCTTAATCGGCTGGCAGGAGCAAAAATGCTTCCTAGATCAGCCGATGCTTCCTAGATCGGGGCACCGCCCCCTCCTTACTGCGTGTGTGTAGGCGCATCGGCCCGATTTCTTTTGGCAGTCGCTGCCAGCAACCCTCGCGGAAGGAAGTTAACAAAACAGTGATACTGAATGACCGTTTTTATATAACAAAATTTTTACATTTTAATCATATAAACAGAGTAGAAGCCTATGGCACTGATATTTTACAAAATAACCAAAAAAAAATGAATAAAATAAATAAATTAATTGAAATTTTATCGAAATTCAAATCATATCCACCCTAGCCTGTGACCCTGCGAAGTGACATGGTCAAGAATGCCTACTAAACTAATTTTTTTATTGCCTTTCGTAAAGTAGAGTGTATGATGTAAGTAAGGAGAAGATAAAGCCTCTCCTCAACAACTAACTCCTATTCCAACGCTATCAACACAAGACCGCACTCATATCTCTTACAACTCCACAAGACCACACTTCGATCTCTTACGTGCCTTCATCCTCTTATCAACAACTAACTTCTACTCCTTCACCATCTCCACATCAACAAACAAGTTATATAAAAGGGAGTATGTCCGAAATTAAAGGTTTCTTTATGTTTAAAAAAAGATATAAGCTATTTTATTTTCTGATAGTTTTACTCCATAAATAAAGATTACATTAAAAAAAAAGTATACATATTATTATACAAAAGTATTTTATTTCCTTGTTTGTTGTGTGTAATACATAACCAGATTTTGACCAAAGCAGAAATGAACAAAGAGAAGAAATAACTAAATAGCATAGGTAGGAGAAATTGACGTTTTTATATAAGTGGCGAAATCATTTCTAGAAGGTTATAAAAACTGTCTTCATCCATCCGGACAAAATTAATCACGTCCTTGGATTACAGGCCATTTAGTACGTTTATGTGGCTTAATTTTTATCTCTTTTGGAGCCATTTTTTCACCCAGCAACTTCTCTTTTTCTATTTTCGAATAAATTAACCGAGATGGCTAATGCCAAACCAACACGGTGGTGTTTTAAGAGAGTCGGAGGTATTTTGAAGAACTCTACCGCATATGCATTCCGCTCCAAGTCCGAACGCGTACTGCTAGGCAGGCCCGTGTGTAAGATCTACCCCGATAAAAGCCCCGATTTCTTTCCACCCTAGATCGCCACCGATATCGTGTCGTATGTAGCCCGCTTTAGTCTCTACTTTAACGTATGGTAGTGAAAGTTGGGTGTGGTAGAAGAAGCACGAGAGTAGAATAAATGCGGTAGAAATGCGGTCGCTAAGGAGTATGTTAGGGCTGAATCTGAGTGATAGGGTGAGAAATTGTGAGATAAGAGAAAAGTGTGGTTTGCATGATGATGTTGTGACCAGAATTAATAAAGGAATGCTTCGGTGGTTTGGTCATGTAGAAAGAATGAATGAGGAAAGAGTGGCAAAGCAAATTTATGTTGCAGAAGTGATTGGAAGAGTCGGAAAGGGAGGTCGTAGGTGAAAGTTTATCGACCAAATTGAGTACCCTTAACCGACGAGCATGTATGCGTAGGTATATGAATGTGGAGGAGGCGAGAGAGGTGTCAGGATTGTGCCAAAAGGAAGTGTTTATGTATTATGTATTAAAAATTAATTTCATAAGATTTTAATGAAAAATCTGATTTTGTCATTATGAAAAATTGTAATGGAATTATGAATATTACTATCTTAGACTAATTACATGTATAATTACTTTGAGATTGCTATCGAATCGATCTGGGGAATCGAATGTACTCTACCAACATGGGAAAAGATCAATCAAATTATAATAACAATGACATTTTCATGATCCTGAACATCACAAAACGCATTATAGTAGGCCAAGAGCATAGATAGCTGTGTTCTGTGATGTTGGAACTCAAAATGTGTAATCTTAAACTATTTCAATTTATTCATTTTTTTATTCGCAGGAACCGTGTTACGCAAGTGGGAAGAGTAACAACATTGACGTCGTCGTAGTTATCAACTGCTATCATTATCCAATCACTGCGACTCCACTCGCTGCTGCAATTCAATAATGTTTTCCCTTAGTAGGTCGACCACATTACTAATCTATTTTAAAACAAGTCCATCTTAATTTTCCTGAAGATAGTCCTTGGTTTCTAACATGAGTAATATAAAAGCGGGTATTTATTAATAACATGATTAATTTAAAAGAAATAACTTATAGAAAACTTCAAATGATTTTTAAGTGTACCTAACTAAAGGTACAAAGAAAGACACTGCTATGTCTAATTTACGATTTAATATGAAAATGCTAACATGTAAAGCTAAAACGGAACCAGGGTATGCACGTGCTTCCTCAAGCTACTGTCTGTGCGAACACGGCGTACTAACCCATAAAAAAGCCCACTCATGGACATGGGTCTCCGGCGTTGTACGGAGGATTAGCTTTAATCTGAATGACGATCGTTGTACCGGACATCACATATATTTGACGATGCTGTCCGTCGCCGCTCCGGATATTTTACGCCCGGCGTATACGAGTTGGTTATACCGCCATCTATTGGAGGTCATAAGATTTTTTCTGAAATTTCTCAACCTCCTCTTACGATAGCCGCGGGACTAAATACTCTCACATCGCCACCACAAGGCAAATATATACAATAAACTGTAACTAATGGAACAGCTACGTTTGATTCTTGAAAATAGAAAAGGTGCTTCTCTTGCTAGACCGCGACGCGTTGATTGTCTTTGTCTCACATATTCAGTTTTAGTTTGTAACTCACGTAGGCTCATTCCATGTATCCCAAACCTTTTTATGTTCTAATATATTATTTAAATACTTAAGTCATATTTTATAGACTACATCGTAAGTTTAATAAAACAATTTAAATAAAATCAGTTTTTAAATATATCGTATATTTTTTATTATTCTGAAAACCAGTGCTATACTGCTATACCTCCTGATGGTAAGTGATGATTTAGCCGAAATGACGTTCACTTTTGAAAATTTGAAAACACCCATATTGTAGCCGGATGGAAAGACAAATACTGGCAACTTATTCAACTTCTTTACACATGACGAATGATGTTGGAAACCGTTTGATTGGAATGCGTGGTAGTTCGGTGAAGACTGGCTGAGCGTCTGGTAGTCCGATGTGTTTGGTTTTAACCAGATTCGGGTCATAAATAAGTTAGCATGTCTGTAAAGCTTAGCATGCCTTCCAATGCTACTAGGTGGCATTTTGCAGCAGTACCCCATATACTCGTATATCAATACTCTGTATGCGACTGGACTTACGCTTTTTATAAAGTAAGCAGCTGTCCCGGCGTGAAGTAACGCCACACCTTTTCAAGGACTCCTAGTTTCAAAAGAGCCGTGGTAGCTCAGTTGGTTAGCGCTCGCTGTAAATTTCACAATACGCGAGCAAACCGGGTTCGATCCCCGTCGGCACCAATGAAATTGTTAACTGCAATTTTAAGTGCTGATTTACCACGTGCTCGGCGGTGAAGGAAAACATCGTGAGGAAACCTGCATGTCTGAGAAATAAGAATAAAAAAAATATTTCGAAGGCATGTGAAGTTCGCCAACACGCATTAGGGCAGCGCGGCGGACTATTGTTTGCCCTAAAACCCTCTCAGAAATGAGAGGAGGCCTGTGCCCAGCAGTGGGACGTATATAGGCTGTAACTTTAACTTTAAATTTTAGTTTCAAATGAACCAATGATGTTTTATTTACTTAATAGTAATGTTTTATTCTTCCTTTGTAAAACAATTGTATAAAATTCTGCACACTACTGCATTTTTTGGAGTTTATGGCCTGGTATCTAGACATTTAGGCCAAGTCTTCGTAATTTTTATATATATATATATATATATATATATATATATATATAGATAGATAGATAATTTTACGCTGGTATTCTGTGAGAGCTAGAGGCTTCCCCGTTGGAACTAAACCATACGTGTTGCAACCATAATATAGCTGCAGAGCTATACCAAGTATAAGTTGTATTACTTTGTAGTTCCTCACATATGGACATCCAATTGCTGGGCACAGTCCTCTCCTCATTTCTGAGTGGAGATTTCAAATATCCTCGAAATAGTTTATTTCTTAGACATGCAGGCAACTTATTGTGGTAAATCGGCACTAAAGATTGTTATTAACAATTTAGTTGGAGCTCGACCACGGGCTCATGTAATTCGAAATCCACGCTTTCATTCGATACGCGAACGCGTAATCCCTATGCTGGTATGCTGTAGGACTTGTAATTTTATTATCCTGAAAACTTTATACTGAGTTGTGGTTGCAATAGTTATCAATTGCTAATAATGACAGCTGGCAAAGCAGCTCAACCGTGAGCTAAGTTCTCAGGTCCTACAGTCGGACTCGATCCCCCTGCATCTATCGTTAGTCAGTCATGAGTGCGATCACGCTTGAATTTCTGCAAGATCTCCTCAAAGAGGATTATCCTGATGTCGTCATTCAGGAATTTCAGGTAGGTGTAGTCAATAGGAGCAACAAAAGTATCTGAGCTTTTTCTTTAATCATAAATCCGGGAAGTGCGTAGTCCGTATGAAGATGCCTCGTCACTACATCTGATTTGATAGACCATAAATCCACGCTAAAGGACGCAGATTCCTTCCAAGAATAATTCGTGAGACTTTTGAAATCAAAAAACATCCTAATTTCAATAGAGAAGATGGACTATCTGCTTGGAATCCTATTTAATACATATATAAAAATTAATATTTGTTTCTTCGTATTTTATGCGCTACCGCTCGTCCAATTGCGGTAAAACTTTGTCAACATATTGTTTGCACTTCCGCAAAGGTCATAGGCACAGTTGGACCTGGTAGGTGACCCCGTTGTAGAATGCAGTAAGCCGTCTTGTAATATCACTCGTGCGAAGCTGGGGCAGATCACTAGTAATTAATAAAATAAAATTCCAACCCAAGCACACGAATGCAAGACTTCAAGATACGATCAGTTCGTACTTCGTTGATCGGACCAAAAGTTAATAATTATAAATTGGAGATAGCCGTGAAAAAACATTGGGACGTTGAATACCTCAGTCCCCCCGTGACCATGGAGAATCGTCGGGAATTCAAAATAAATATTAACTTATTACGCGATAAAATTCGTAAAATCTAGCATAATTTAAACGCTTTTATTATCTATATGTATAGGTTTTTTTTCTATACACAGTGGGTCTCAATTTGTTATAAAATAAAGAGTATAAAATAGGTTAATATATGCGATAAAATCTTTAGAAACTAGTTTTATTTAAATGTGTAGTGTTCGCATAATCATAAGAAATCAATTCGTTTCATCTTACGATCCTAATGTTATTTTAGCGCGGAACAACAACATCAGTTTGTTCGATTAATTCAAAAACTGTCAGCTCAACATTAACAATTTTATCCAATAGGATTAAATCCGGTGCTTTACTACGATGTTCTAATGTACGATGTGCCTCGTTGGTCTAGTGGTTGTAGTAGTGCGACTGCTGATCATGAGGTCCTGGGTTCGAATCACGGGTCGGGCCAAAAAATTAACTATTGAGTTTATTGTGAGAAGAAATTCTCAGTAGTTGCCCGGAGTCAGGAAGTTGGCGGTGTCTAACCTCCGTGCCTCGGAAAGCACGTAAAGCCGTTGGTCCTGCGCCTGATCTCTCTCCGGTCGTGTCGTTTTACCGTCTCATCGGATTATGAGAGTGAGGGAATAGAGAGTGCTCCTGTGCTTGCGCATACACTTGGGCACTATAATCCTGTCCTGCGCCGATGGCTAGCCTCCGTTGAGGCGGGCCGCCGTGGCCGAAATTCGGTCTGGAGGATATTATTATTACGATGTTCTAAGGATGACACCTTTAGAACTCCTAACGTCGTAGAATAACATAAACTAAGATAAAAACCTTATAATACGGTACTTAATATAGCAGTGGATTTAAATATATTCCAGTTACGTATTGGTGGGAGAAACTAGAACAGAACTGGTATTTGTAAGCAAAATGTCTGATATAACTCTTATAATGGAATCCATCACGAACAGATCAGCATCGGAGAAGAAAAAAACAGACACAGACTATGAGTATAAAAGCAATGTAATACTGCTGTGTTTCGTACGGTCAGTGGCGACAATTGGAACCCTTTATATTTCTAACGAGACCATTCATGTTATCGTCAGAGAAGACAACGTATTGAAAATAAGGGCATCCAGGAATTTCTTTGCCACCAGGGCGGTTCTACATAGGAACAAGGAGAAATATTTGTCAGATTTCATGACGGGGGAAGCTAATTTGTTGGAAAAGTGAAAAGATTAATGGTTATTTCTGAAATATTTTAATATTAATTAGATTAGAAATAGATAAAAACAAATAACGGTTATTCCTAAAAATAGAAGAATTCAACAAAAATTAATTTTTTTAAATAAATACACATTTTTAACTTTTTTCAAATACAACACTGAAGAATTGTTTTTTGTTTTTACGTGTACATACACTAAAAACCGCAACTTTACAATGATGATGATACTCTGTAACTATCTGTACGTAACAAATAAATTCTTCTTAGTTAGTTAAGTAAGTTAGTTATAGCCCTCATTGATAAAAAATCTGTTTATTATGCAAATACGTGGCTCGGATCAGTAAAGCCAGCATAGGTTCTCGAGTGGCATCTTGTACTGGTTATGAATCTTGTACTAGTTAGGAATGTAGGTGGAAGTATGACATGCAGGAAGTCGATGGATGTGGGTGGCTGTGTAGGTGAGGACCGTATTTTGCGGCGTTCCTAGTGGAGGGACCTCTGTTCGACAGTGAATGATTATGATGTTTTTTGATCAATTTCGCATAACGTTGCTTTCTCTTTTAGGGTGCACCGGGAACAAAGAGAGGGGACAATTACACTTCCATGGTTTATAGAATATCACTTAAAGGAATTAGAAAAAAAGATGATGAATCCACTGAGGAGCCTTGGGAGAGTTCTATAATATACAAATGCCTGCCTGAAAGCGTTATGCGAAGGGAGGCATTCAAAAGTGACGAACTTTTCTGTAATGAAGTCGCATTCTACACTAAGATCTGGCCAACCTTGATCAAGTTCCAGTCTCAGTGGGAGAAGGTCGCACATCCTTTCAAATGTATACCTAAATGTTATCTCGCTCAGAATGACCTGGTGATTTTAAAAGATTTAAAGCAGATGGGGTTTGTGATGCCGGACAGAAGACAAGGGTTAACCATCGAGCAAAGCTATTTCGTTTTGAAACACTTGTCGCATTTCCATGCGTTGTCGTTAGCGATGAAATATCACAATCGAGAGGAATTCTACGAATTACTGAATATACAGGATGGTATATCTGAAGGTAAGTGGTTTAAATTTATGGTATCATAACGATTTCCGGACGCATAAAGTCCAAGTTAAAAAGTAAGTAACAGTCTTCTGTCTTCTCCTGAATAATGATAACTATCGGCGGCGCTTCAATCGTTAACCAGATAATTAATTTTGTTAAACTTGCTGGCAGATAAAGAATAACCAGATTTGTAGAAAAAGCAATACCTATGGTGGCCACACACGGTCAGTTAAACTGATCATTCCAACTGATTATAATTATTACATACTGATTAGACCTTAGAATTTTTTTTGAAATATCGGATTTTAGATATATCCATGAATAAACTTATATGTAAAACTCTGCTATAAATATATTTATAATGAACGATAAATCTAAAATCCACTATTTAAAAAATATTAACAGTTTTAGTTAGAACTGATCAGTTGGAATGATCAGTTTAACTGACCGTGTGTGGCGTCCATTAGTATGACGTAATATCATGTAAAATCTTTTATCGCCTCATCCTGTCCTGTTTCATTATGTGTAGTTGCAGACCATTTATGAAACCCGAATGATCTCCTCTTCACATTATTACTTCACACAATTATAACCATTTGATACGATAATATGGTGTAAATACGAATAAATCTTTTAAAATAAATTATTTCTTATTCGGCAATTAAGCGTCGAATTTTATAAAATATGTTACATGGATTAAATATAAATAAAAGGTTACACATAATATTTAAAAAAAATCTATAAAAGAATGAAAAACTAAAACTAAAAATTTTATTTATCATACAGTTCTGCTCCCCGAGGTATCGTATCGTGCCTAGAACGCTGGCTGGGTTTTCTCGTTGAATGGCTATACTTAACCCTTGAGTGAGAAAAGAATCTCTTATCACCAGCAGCGATAAAGTTCCAGTTTCCAGTTCCTTTAGGAACTTCACCGCACGTAGACCCCACGAACACGGACCGATAGTCTCTACAACAAATGGCACAAATGACGTCATCTCTAAGAGACAGCCTTTGATGTCGCTCCGGCTCTAAACGCTCTCTCCCAAGGGACCAAAATCATACCGTTGGCTCTCTTACCATCATCTCTAAACGTTCCGCAAGGCTCTAGAACCGAGAGAACATTTTTATAGATAAGAGATCTTCGGATGACATCGTTCAAAGAAACGTGACGGGAAAACCGTGAAAAGTCCGTGGAGCCAAAACTCGTCGAAGCTGCTACCATAGGGGCACTGATGAGGCTGACAAATTTTCACACAATTTCTTATTTTTATTCTTAACTAGAGATCCGCCCTGACTTCGTCTGCATAGGAATTATTAATGCGGCGTTATGTTGATTTAAGATATAGAAAATCTTATCAATTTTTCGTTTATTTTAATAATCACTCTTTAAGATTTTCGGATAAAATATTCACACACTCCTGACACTGCTCTTTATCTGTTCGCAAAGTTTCATCATAATTAGTTCAGACATTCAGAACAAGCAGACAGACAGAAAATTCGACAGACAGATCTACACACATAAATTTTAATAATGATTATGTACGTAGTAATAAAATGCAAATAGCTATTCTATGGGTACTAGAAGCAGTTTCAAATGTGGCAGCCAGTCTGAGAGAGACTGGTCTGATTTCCGAAAGCGGTAGAACTACGACGGCCAGAAGTTGACTTTTACGGGGTAGTGAAGAAGAGGGGGACTGTGTGTAGGGTTACCCTTTGCTTACGTGTATTTTATAGACTTATATAAAACCTTTTATTTTTTCGACAAATTATTTGTTGCAAGTGTTCTAGCAACTTATTGAAACTGAGGAATCGTCAGGCGCTTTACTTTTTTATTACAATTTTAATCACACATATTTAGTTTTTTACTCGAAGCATATCAGAGTATTAAACTGCTACACCGCTAGAACTTGGTAAAAACCATCCTCCTTAACTTTGGACGTCCGATAAAATATCCGTCCGTGGTGATAAAAAAATCTGTATTTTGGTTGTTAATCGAGGATAATGTACATGTTTGTGGACCATAGTCTCCATCAGGTGGACTGTGTGTTTGTTTGTCACCCTTATTATATAAAAAAGAAGTTTTTCTTTTTCCAGTATTCTTTGTGCCAGAAAACGAAGATTACTTCAAGAGTTACTATACTGAGGCGACACAAAACGCGATCGCTATGGTCGAGGAGGAGCTTCGGGACTCGGATATGAAAGACCTATACTTGGAGAAGTTCCGGAAATTCTGCAGCGAGGATACATTTTTCCAGACCATGGTGGAGCTGGTGGCGCCGAGGGAACCCCTTGCGGTTATATGCCACGGAGACTGCTGGACCAATAATTTCCTCTTTCGACACATTGATGGGGATATTGCAGAGGTGACTTATCGATTGCAATACAATCATTTTACTGTGTAGTGGCCGTGTAAGAAACCCACTACCCAACATAGTCCCGTGGGTGTCGTAAGAGGTGACAGAGAGAAACAGATCAGAAGAAGAACAGCAGTAATAACGACTAAACTTAAAAAATAAACTGCGGTTGCCAATCGCTTGATAAGCGTGGGAACTATGGTAACTATTTGGCGCATATTCTTCATCTTCCTCAGTTTCGTCTTCATTATCTTCATACTGCTGTTCTTGTCCCTTATTGTCAGTTTCACTGTGTAATGCTAAGGTCTTTAATAAATTTTGTACACCAAGGTTCAAAATGTGAGCAAAGCACCGGAAATGTTGATTGTCTGAATCAAAGTGTGGCAGCTGTTTGTCCAATTCATACATAAACTCGGTATTTGCAGTTGCGTTGTCGACCGTGATACCCTATATTTTATCAATTATGTCATATTCCAATAAACATTCGTGGAAAATCGTTGCAATATCTTCCCCAGTATGTCGACCGCGTGGTGGTATAAAATCAAGGACTACAGATCGATACTTCCATTCGTTGTCTATATAATGAATAGTGACCTCGTAGTAACTCTTACCAGCAATTGACGTCCATCCATCAATGGTAAATGACATTTTAGATGAAAATTGTTACTAAAATCGTTTCTTAAGATTCAATTGAAGCTCTTCAAACCGTTCTTTGCCCTTCCTTCTAAGTGTGGACCTTTTAGGAAACACCATATTTGGGCAAATTGATCGAAAATATACTTGTGTAGCTTCGTCATCGAAAAATGAGAAGGGAAGATATTTTTTAACCATCCAATCAACTGTAGCTGTCGTGATGTTGTCACTGCTATTTTCAGACTGAAATAAAACAGTAAATCATGTGTCTCGCCGATTATAAAAACAAATGAAAATATGAGTGAATTATAAATACATATTTAACACTATAATCTATATATATATTTATATATATATATATTCCACTCACTGACTGACTATAACTATATAAAACATACAAAATTGAAGTTTGTAGGCAAGGTAGGTTCTTTTTTATGGCATAGATTGATCAGTTAAGAAACGGTTTTGAGAAAATCTATCCCTAAAGGAGTGAAATGGGAGTTGAAAGTTTGTATGAAAGCCCTACGTTTTTTTTTCTCTTTATTAGGATTACCAACGATTGATACATTATTACATCATTAATTAAAATTTACAGTTTCATTATTTCTAAATGTACAATCACTTAAAGGTAATCACAACATGCTATCAATTTACATTTTAGTACTATATAAGGTATCTAAGGAATTCTTATTTTAAATAATTTGATATTGTATGAACGAGTGCGCGTGCACGTGTGTGTGTGTATGTGTGTGTGTGTGTGTGTGTGTGTGTGTGTGTGTGTGTGTGTGTGTGTTTACATTGATTATTAACAATTTGGTACACGATCTGTACTTTCACAATGTTTGAAGTGCTTATATAAATTCTTATAAAACTGACATATGGAATCAAAATTAACATCAACGATTTTACTACATTCATTAAAGACTTTACAAAGCCTTGCGACTGGCGAATGCGCACCGAGAATAGTTCTACGACGTGGTGGGTAAAGAAGTGGAATTGGTTTGCGTGGAATTCTTATTGGAGTGCGAAATTTAAATTGGGCGAGAAGCTGTGGACAATCTACTTCATTTCTAAGCACCTTGTATAAAAACATAATATCTATTAATTTTAGACGTATCGATAAGGGTAGCATATTAAAATATTGAAGTCTATCTGCATAGGATGATATTTTTAGTGCTTTTCCAACAGAGTATGTAAGATGCCACATAAAGCGTTTTTGAACTCTCTCCAATCGCAACGAATGTGTAGAATAGTGGGGACGCCAGACAACACTGCAGTACTCCATTATACTCCTTACAAGGCTATTGTACAATATTTTTTTTGTTTTAGGGTTTTTAAATGACCTACCATTTCTTATGACAAACCCTAACATTTTGGAAGATCTATTTATAATACTATCAATATGAGGTACAAAAGTTAGTTTTTTGTCAAAATATACACCAAGATCCCTTATCACTTCTACTTCTTGTATTTTGTTATTCCCTATGAAGTAACGGTTATAGATCAACTTAGTATTTCTTGTAAATTTAACATGTGAACATTTAGAATAATTAGGATTCATGCCGTTAAGATTACACCAACTTACAAGTCTATTTAAATCTGTCTGTAACAATAATGAGTCTTCCAAAGATTCAATTATTCTTCCAAACTTTAAATCATCCGCATACATGTAGGGTTCCGAAAATTTAAAGCAACTAGAAATGTCATTTATAAACAGGTTAAATAATATTGGTCCTAAATTTGAGCCCTGTGGCACACCAGAGGAAATGATACGATTATCAGATTGAAATCCATTTATGACCACATAAAAGGAACGTTTATTTAAGTACGACTTTAACCATTCCAACAATGATCCGGCGATCCCATAAACGGCTAATTTGTAGTTTAGGACTTTATGCGGAACTCTATCAAAAGCTTTACTTAAATCTGTGTATATTACATCATATTGCCTACCTGCATCTATTGCTTTTACCAAAGACTCTGTAAAAGTTACAAGGTTTGTGCAAGTTGACCTTGATCGAACAAAACCATGTTGATTATTACTGAGGTAAAGTTTTAAGTTAGTCTGCAATAGTTGACTAACTAGAGATTCAAGTATTTTACCGAATATTGGTAAAATTGAAATTGGCCTATAATTAGATATTATGTTCTTATCCTCTGACTTGTGAATGGGAACTACCTTTGCAATTTTCCACTTCGATGAGAAAACTCCTGTTGCTAATGATTTGTTGTATATAATCAATAGAGGTGTAACCAAAACCGATGCACAAGACGCTATGAAAATTGGCGGAATATCATCAGATCCAGAACCTTTATTGCAATCCACTCTTTCTAGCTTATTTAATAAAGTTTTGTAGTCTAAAGTCGGGCTTGTCGAACATTGGCTATTACTCCATAATAATTTCAAATTATCGAAATCATGTATACAAAACTGTCTATCTTCGTCTGTATTGTAAACAGAAGAGAAATAATTCGCAAAGAGTTCACATATCTTAAATCCATCAGAAGTAGTTTCCTGACCATTTGTCATAGCGATGGGGTATCCGCTAGTACCACCGCGCTTTTCTTTGACATGAGACCAAAATAGTTTTGGATTATTTTGTATTTGCTGTTCTGTTTTTTCAATATAATTTTTATAACACTTTGCGGCTAGTTGCTGACATCTTTTACTTAGTAACTTTAACTCAATTTCATCCCTAGGATTACCATATATTTTATACCGTTTTCTTGTTTTATTTTTCTCATTTAATGATTTTATCAAAGTTTTATTGAACCAAACAGGATAACGTTTGTTTCTTCTCTTGCTCATTGGGATATACTCCTTAATAAGTGTATACAAAACCTTATAAAATACTTTAACCATGTCGTTGACATCATTTAATCTACTAAACATCTCAATCCAATTAACCTCATTCAAATGCTTTCTTATGGGACCATAATCTGATTTATAAAAATTACGCTTTTTATTTTTTAAACTGTAAGGAAGACATTTTTTTGTCGATAGTGATATAGTGATATCTAGAGGAGGGTGTATATGTTCAGTATTACTTAAGGGCGTTACTGCTTGGGTTACTTCACACAAATTAACGGATGTAAGTACAAGGTCCAATATACGACCAGTATTTGTTACGTGATTACATTGAGTAAGTTTATTAATGTGTAAGAAATCAATTAAATCTTGACTCATGGCTGGTAAAGATGCATGAATAGTGTTTGTATTTTTTAACATGCCCCAATTTATGTTACCTAAGTTAAAATCACCTAGTATGCATACAGGTGAGTTTATTTCCCCAAATACAGCGTTATAATGGGATACAAAATAGTTGATTGTTATTCTACTTACTGGTGGTGGTATATAAGCAACACACAGTGCTATCTGACGTATAGTCTTGGTTACTGGAGCTTCAATATTAACCCATAGGTCTTCACATTTGCTTTCCCAGCAGGCGACACGATTAGATTTAATTTTTTTGATACTGCTATCAATACTCCACCTCCTTCCTTACCACTGTGGTAGGTAGAGTTTTCCCTATCTCTTCTGTAGATATCATACCGGTCATCAAAAAGTTCACCATTCAGCACTGAGCCATTTAACCAGGTTTCTACTAATACTATAATATCATAATTACTACAACAAACATTGCAATAAAATTCTTTTGTTTTAGATCGAAGGCCTCAACAATTTTGAAAATATATTTTTAAGCTATTGAATTTTACAGTAAGGTTTTCCGAGTACATGCACAAATTATTCTAATATACATATTTTAAATATTACATCAATTTGTTTAGTGTTCCTAAATCTTTAATAACTATATATTGTGATTCATCATTTTTTTCTAACGTATATTTTACCACCCCTGATCCAAACATACTTGAACCCTTTTTCCTTAGCCTTGATTCTGGTAGCAGCATGAAGTGCTTTATTGGAAGGCGATAAATGCTCAACAAAATAAATCGCTGTCTTTGTACCCGAAAGCCCTAGGTGAGAACTGTTTAATTTGTCCAGATGATTATTTTTATTGAATTTTATAATAGAGGCTAGAAATTGATCACGTAAAAATTGAGAAGATAGTTGTACAACAATAGAACGAGGGCGTTTGGTAGCAGGACTAATTTTAGCTGTGCGAGTGCAGTGTATAATATCGTTTTCTTTGACGGTATATCCTATAACAGTTCCCAACTTTTGTATAATACTAATCAAGTTTTCATTTCTACTTTCTGGCACCAAATGAAGTTCTAGATTATTTGCGCGCAAATGTTGCTCTGTTATATTAACACATTGTTCCGCGGAAAGAAGTCGCATGTTAAGTTCCGATACAATACTTTTAATTTTAAGGTTATCTTCAAGCAATTCCTTACTAGTTTTCTTAGCTTCTGCCTGTTCTTTCTCAATATCCTCAAACCTGTTATTTATGAAATTCATGGACTCATTAATTTCTTTCATTTCTTTTTTGATAGGTTTAAGTTCTTTGTTAATAATTTCCATTAAACTATTATTAATTTCCTTTAGTATACCACTTAATTCGGTTCTTATAACTTCTTGAACAATATTTTTTACATCTGCGCCAGTTAAAGCCGTCGTATTTGGCGGTGAATTTAATGCAGGTTTTTTAATGCCTCTGCCGGTATTGATGTTACGCAATGGAGTTGAAACTTGTTTTGAACATCTGGGAGCATTCTTTTTACATTGGGGGCAATTCCAATTTGATAACACTTCAGTTTCGTTGATCCCCGGTATGGACAGACAGGCTAAATGAAATGATTTATTACAATCCATACAATCAATAATCTCCTCATTCTGTCCGGTCTCAATATTACAACATCCCCATTTACTCATCTTGCAATTTTTTTTGTAGTATATATATATATATATTATATATATATATATATATATATATATATATATATATATATATATATATATATATATATATATATATATATATGGTAATATGCAAGTATGTATTAATTTTGCAATTTTCTATTCGTATGCTGGATGTATTTATTCCATTAAATTTTAGCTCCTTTCTGCACTATGTACGATCCTCGTAGAATGATATATTTATTACGAAAAGTTACTAATCTTTTAAAAATACACAAAAATTACAACTCGATGCGGCTCGAACCAGCTTTCTCGGACGTAGTGTATCAAGCACCAGAACCACAGGGCTAGCGTACTTAATTCTTACACTTTGAAATTAGTAGTCACTTTCTTTATATTTTAATTTTATTCTTGTGGAGGTCATGTAAGTTTATAACTCTATAAGTACCTTCATCAATAAAAACACATCTTGGATTACTTTAATTTTAAATACCACGCTATAACGGTATACTGTAGCAGATGTAAACATAACAGCTTTGTAGACCGTATATTTATATATTCGTTAACACCAATCACTTTGTTATGAAATGTCTTTTACAATTAAAAAAACTTTAAATTACTGAGAGCGATATGACAACACGTCAACCCGCGACACACATACTCTACTCTACAACTCTTTTGAAGTTAGAGACAGGAAAATCGGCATTAAAGTTATAAGTTTTCAATAATAAAATCCTGAATAAGCTGTTTTAAGAAATCCTAACCCTAACGGGTGATTTAATTGGGGTAAAATGGTTACATGCAAGTCCTATATTTTTAAAGTATATATATGAAGATCGACATTTACTTTATTAGTTTTAAATAATAAATACTTGCATAGTTAAGCTTTACCTATATAGCCTCTTTATACTTAGGTAAGACTTTTGCAGCGAGAAAATTTCAAAATCTCATAAGAAATCAGATATTGTACGCGGACGAAGTCGCAGGCTGCCGCTAGTTACATAATATATGTGTTATGTAATTGTGTGATAAGTATATTTTTTCTTACCTGTCCACTTTTTCCGGTGGTTATTAAAAAGCTTGTGATATCTCCACTTAATTTTGGGTTTTCAGGAAGAAATATTTGTGATTCCTTTTTGTGGAAAGATATTAGATGCTACCTGACTACTACTGCTGTTAAGCCTGAAGTGTTTCTGTTTTTCATTTTTATTTCAACCTTTTTATGTTGGCATAATTTACACAAAGCAATTTGGGATGCATGAATTATGTCGAAAAACTCATCAAATTTACTTTTAGGTCTTTTAGATCTATAACTCCAACTCTCACTACTCCGACAAGAACTATTCGACTCTTCGTCACTCATGTCAAATTGTAAACTTATCACTCCGAGAACAACAAGGATTAGAGTAAAAACATTTAATACATTAGACTCGAAGCAAAGCTCAATTGCAAATGACTGGAATTAAAATAAATACTACTATTTGTAAGTACACGCCGAAAGACCCACAAAGGAAAGTTCGGCATCCTTTGATAAAATTAATGATACTTCAGAAGATTAATAAAGTAGATGCGTTGCCAGATAGGTATAGTGTGCCTACGTAAAAATGAAATATAAATATGTAAATAAAATTGTGTATATTATGTTCTTCTTGTGATTGAATTAATCTACGTTAATTAAATTAAATTTGCCTTCACTCGTTTGAAATTCAAAATTCAAATATGTTTTATTCAAATAGGCATTAAAAATACACTTTTGAATAGTCATATAATCACTGTTTTCCCCAATTTTTTCTTTTCCATGTCCAGGGTTCTGATTCTGCTGAGAAGAATCATGGAAGAAAGTAAGAAACTCAGTAGTTGCTCTTTTCAAAATATTTTTACAATAGTTCTACAATTATGTGAAGCGATAAGTCAAACATAAAATGTCAAATGTATATGTCGATACCAAATCGGTTTAGAAATTTCTATTTAGTACTGTGTAGTACGACAGGTCAGTTCCAAGCATTTTTGTCTGACTTAAATTGAAAAGGTGAAAGATCTAACATTTCTTTTTGAATCTTATTATAAAAGCGTATATCGCTACCCAAGAACGCATTATATACTTTGTGTAACCGGAAAGCAGGTATTGTGATTTTATTTTTATTTCTACTATTAAAATTGTGCAAATCACTATTATTTACATCAATTCGATGCAATCAATTTCTTTAAACGGTTCTCTAAGAGATACTCGGGCTCCTAAAAAGTACATAGATCTTATTTTACGCTTTTTATTTAATATGCACACTTTTTATATTATTCGATTAGCATTGTACAAAATGTTTACACGTTTCAAGTGTGTTAAAAGTGTCTACAATATTTATCAAATGGGTGACGACATATTCGAACACTTGGTGTTCAAATACAGACATTTCCAAAAATCGAGATTTGCTGTGAACTTATTGAACATGTTTATCTATTAGGTAATAATAATAATAGTAAGTAATTATTATAAATCCATATAGTTAATATTATAATAATTACTTACTAGTATAAATTATTATGGTATCTACCTATCCTTACCATTATCTAATTACAATATTCCTTGCGAGATCAGCATAATATATTCGTGTCCATTCTGAGTACCCGGAAACTTATTTTATTCTTTGGAACATGTACTCTGTGGCGGCATTCAAACAGTGTCAAATGTAATGCGTGCGGCGCGGCGGCGACGATTGAATGCGATATCATTAGAAGTCGCCGGTGCGTGTATCTTGACCTTGTACTTCCGAATAGCTGCAAAATTTCTTTGACAGGTCAGTATTCGACCTTTGATGATGCCGACAAGACGCCGCGCACTATCAAAGTGCCGACGGTCAAAACTAGGATGCTATACACTATTACTATGCACTGTTTATTCTTTTAATGGATATTTTCATCCGCTATGTATGTTTATGTTATTGTTCGTAATGCGCATAAATCCAATTTTCCAAAAATTTTTTTTATATATTTTTTGCGTCTCATAGAGTCCCTAAGCGTATACCCGAACTCCTATACTCCCTGAAACGACACTCATTCCTAACTGCAAGACGCAAGAGTCTCGCAGGCTTAGTCTTGTTCTTGCTCAAAGATTGCACGGTCAGTCTTGGTCTTGCTAAAGTTAGGCGCTCTTGTTCTTGGTCTTGGTCTTGCAAAAATGCAAGAACAAGACCAAGACTGCAAGATCAAGACCGATTTTGGGCAACACTACTATCCCCCTATGAGGCTATTTATGGGGGAGGCCTATTTTATTATTGGACTTGAATAGGCTGTAACAGTAATGTAATGATATTTGCCCTTTTTAGAAGGTGTGTGTATGTGCGTGGGCGCACGCGCTAGCGTGTGTATGTGTGTGTGTGCGCGTGTTTGTATGTTAGTAAGATCTATAGATCTCTAGATATTTATATTGATATCGAACACGTGATTGAATTTTTCAAGTAAAAAAATCAACGACAACACAAAATTTTATCATGAAATGGAAAATTAATGGATTAATAAAATGGGTCGGCTTGACCACGGACCACGCTCTCACAGAATACCAGCGTAAAATATGCTGCTGTGTTTTGTATGTTGAGTGTAGAGAACTGACTACCCTTTTTTGCTGGAAACGAGGCATTTTATCTTTGTTCTCAGGGGTAAAGACATATCTGTAATTTGATTCTTATTCGAGGATAAATATAGATGTCTATGGGCCACAGCATCCACAGGACTGTGTGCTCGTTTGTTACAAAGACCTGAGTAACTGATATATCACAACGAATCAGTAATCGGAAGTGGAAATTTATTGAGGATAGATGTATATTTCTATCCACTTACCATCAGGTGGACTATGTGCGTTGGTCAACCTTATTCTATAAAAAATGGATGCTAGTGGGTCAGGAAGATGTTTTTGGACTTTGTATTGGACTTTCGAAATGTTTTTATGATTATTATGATTGCAACCACCAGCGATTGATAGATCGCTGGTGATGATTACTCTTCGCAATAAAAGACGGTTGTGTTACGCATTTTTTTTCCTTTATTTACCCGTGAAAGTCCACAGCTGGACATAGGCCCTTCCTACGCTTGGCGGATGGATTGACGATTGCAGTTCCAGAGTCTAGATTTCTGGATCTCAATAAAAAATAAACCCACGCCAATTATCATCAGATCTGGTTAAGATTTTTATGAAAATACAGTAACAAGTAACAAATAAAAATACAGTCGAATAAATAACTTTTTTGTCCAAAGTTGGTAAAAAAATTGTCAGATATAATAAATATGTTTTCCTTTCAGATGTATATAGTAGACTTTCAGTTGGCGCGGTACGCGTCACCCACACTTGACCTCGTGTACCTCATGCACCTGTGTCTAGACAGAGAGCAGAGAGCTGGCCACCTATCTTCCTTGCTAGAGTACTATGCGGATGAACTGCATCGGAGGCTGGTGGAGATGAGTAACGACGACTCTGTCTTTCATAGAAACCTCAACAGGGATACTTTATACGAAATGTAAGTATACAGATGTGTAACACCATCTATGGTTTATTACGAGTACACCCACAAGAAAAAGCTACATTGACTACCTAGTTCGTCTAGTGGTCGCGAATGTTTATATTATGTGTTTAAAATCAGTTATTGAGTTCTTCTGTTAAAAAAATCTCGGTAGAAGTCTCTAGTCAGGATGCTGGCATTGTTTAACACTCTCGAAAATCAAGTAAAACCGTTGGTCCTGTGCCTGATCTCTCATCGGTTGTGTCCGATTGTCATCCCATCAGACTATGAAACTGAGGGAATAGAGGCACATGTGCTTGTTGTGCACACACTACACTCGTGCATATAATCATAGATCCTTTCCTGCGCATTGTATTAGATTGAAAGCTTATGACAGAGTTTTGGCGGGAACTAGACCGCGACGGATTGTTGCTTCTGTTTTATATTGAAGTTGATTTTGATACCTAAAAGTGATGTGTTTTATATATTAAGTTCTGCGCATGTGAACTATTAGAGAATACGACGAAACAAGTGTATCGATATTGATATAAACCTCAAGTTACTTAAATTACATTTTTTTTACGTGGTAGAGCCATGCTGCAGTTATATTAGTAGTATAGTTGTAGCACGTATGGGTCGGCTCGACCGGGGAGGGACCACGCTCTCACAGAATACCAGCGTGAAATAGTAGCTTAATGTTGCTGTATTTCGTATGGTGAGTGCAGAGAACCGGAGACCCTTTTTACTGGAAACGAGGCATTCCATCTTAGTCCTCACGGGTGACAACGCATCTGCATTTTGATTCGTAATTGAGGATAGATGTAGATGTCTATGGGCCACAGCAACCACTTACCATCAGGTGGACCGTGTGCTCGTTTGTCACCCTATCCTATAAAAAAAAAAAAAAAAAAAAAAAAATTACATGTGGTTAACTTGAGTGACTGTCGTCATCGACAGTCCGCTGGGTTGAGCTGTGGTCAAAATCCCCCAATAACTTCGCAATGTGACGCATCACCATATTGTGAAGAAAAAATCTATAAAAATGAAGATCTCGAATGAAATGAAGACAAGGCTTAAAGGACAAGCATCCAAGCCAAAAATCTTAATAAAAAGTTTTTGTCAGTTCATGTCTGCCATATTTATTTTTTGCTGACTATGCTGACGTCATACAGTCTATGTTACTCGCGCAACTAGATAAACAATTCGATAGAGATTTATGTTACCAGAAATTTGACGACTATTTTAAGAATTACGGTCATTGAAAACATACATACATATAACAATCATGATCATTATAGCCTATCAAACAAACATCCACCGCTGAGCATAGGTCTTACACTGAGAGTTTGACCTCATTTAGGGGTCACATTGGGGATTCGCCACAATTAGGCGGCGCTTTGACAACCGCATTTTTTATTATTTTGAGTTATCAAGAAGATGCTGCTGCCCATCTCCTGTTTTAATTTGCTCGTTGTCGCCTCCTACGACATCTACGGGGTGACTTGGGGGGGGGGGTAGATTCATTTACTGCGCTTACAACACGCCAGTCAAAATTATAACTCTCTTGTTGAGGTTCCTCGAAGTCGGATAAAAAGTATAATAACACGAAATACGTTTAGTTGGTTGTAGCACGAATGGGTCGACTCAACCGCGGAAGGACCACGCTCTCACAAAATACCAGCGTAAAATAGCATCTTAATGATGCTGTGTTTCTTATGTGTAAAGTAACCTAGACCTTTTTTACTGGATACGAGGCATTCAATCTTAGCCCTCAGGGGTGACAACGCATCTGCATATTGATTGTTAATCGATGATAAATGTAGATGTCTATAGGCCATAGTATACACTTACCATCAGGTGGACTATGTGCTTGTTTGTCACCCTTATTCTTTATATATGAAGGAAAAGAAGAAGAATAATGATAGCTTTGATATAATATATTAAATTGTTTATCCAATGCTTACATTTCTAAAATGGATTCATTAGAATGCTTTGTACGATTAATTTCAGGCTAATGGAGGAGTTCAAGCGCAGTAGCCGTTTTGGACTTGGTATTGCCTTGGACATGTACCCCATCATGACCTGCGACAGTAATGAGGCGCCCAATCTTTACCAATCCAAGGTGAAAAATTATTTAGAATCATTGTGATTAGAAACGCGATGATAAACTCGATGAAAAAGCGATAATAAAAAGTCTGCTCTTCTGAAGGTTTCTCTACGCACATGTTTTTTTAAATGTTAGAAATACGTAGAAGCTGTGTGCCGTATTCATGGTATTCCAGTAGTACGAATGGGTCGGCTAGATAGGGGAAGGACTACGCTTTTGACGAATACCAACGTAAATAACAGAGTAATGCTGAAGAGCGTGGTCCCGTGGACCCCGGTCGAGCCGACCCATTCGTGTTACAACCTAGTAGTTAATACTATCCTACCTGATGGTAAGTGGTAGAGCAGCCGAAGAAAAAGTGGTAAAGCACACAATTTTACCTTGAAGAGACCCACATTGTAAACGGATGGAAAGACAGATGCTGACAATCTATTCCACTCATATGCATTCCGTACGTATTCCGTTACCGGAATGCACGTGGTAGCTCAGATGGTTAGCGCTCGCTGTAAATTTAACAGTACGCGAGCAAACCGGGTTCGATACCCGCCGGCAACAATGAAATTGTTAAATGTAATTTTAAGTGCTAATTTACCACGTGCAAAGCGGTGAAGGAAAACATCGTGAGGAAGACTGCATGTCTGGGAAATAAAACAAAACAAAATATTTCGAAGACATGTGAAGTTCGCCAACATGCTATGGGGCAGTGCGGCAGATACTTCCTTGGCCTTAAACCCTCTCAGAAATGAGGGGAGGCCTGTGCCCAGCAGTGAGACGTATATAGGCTGTAACTAACTATTCCGTTACCGTTACAGCCATTGAAGTCCACTGTTGAACATAGGCCTCCCCCATAGATTGGCTTATACGGGGGGTATTTTACATAGTTGCTACGTTTACAAGCGGGTTGCCAAACGCATTTTTTTTTTCAAATTTAGAGATCGATATTTTACTTGTATATCAATATTCAAACCGTTTGCGGATGTACTATTTTGCGATGCGATGCACTATATTTTAATAATATTTTGCCGCATTTTTTATTTTAATTTTAATCTCTCAACCCCCCTAGCGGTCTCATGAGACCACGGCCATATTCCGTCAAATCCCTAGCGGTCTCATGAGGTCGCACCCACCCAAAGCACTTTAACCCATAAAAAGTTATATATAGGGACGTTTTACGTTTATTTCGTACGCCATTTTTGCGTGAATGTTATTGTGTTGATTTTTGGATTTTTCTAGTGTTTTATTCGTGTTTTAGTATAGTGTTTTATTATAAAATTGTAATGAAAGTTTTTGTGTGAATATAATTATTCTTTTGACGAAAATAATTTCAAGTAATATATATTGAAATAATTGTGATTCTCACAATGCCGACATTCGCTTGGTATGTCTTTTTTTGTTATGAAAATACAATAAAATCTTTCTGTAATGAAGTAAAAGCTGACTTTTTTAGACCACAAGATAGAAAATTTTGTATAGATTTTATAATGCAAACTTCTTCATAGAAAAGTAGTTTCTAAATATAAGTTTTAATGGTTTTAAGTGCTGTAGGTGGGTGCGGTCGCATGTGACCCATCGGGATTTGCCAGGCGGATGCGACTGCATAAAATTTTTATGGCGCTTGGAGGGTTAATCTGCAAGTTAAATATAAACATATACACAAAAGAATATTTTGGTACTCTGCGTACGTAGATTATCCTATCAGCAAGTTCAATTTTAACGTTACCGTTACCGCTAACGTTACAACCTATCAATGTTGAATATAGGCCTCTACAATAAATTATTGTCTCATAGGGGGATATTTGCCATAGTTGCCAACCCGCTTGCCAAAGCTTGTAGGTTGGTAAGCGCGGTTTTATTTTTAGTCGTCATAAGGAAGACGCTTCTGCTCATCTCCTGATTTGTTTCCCTCTGTCGCTTTTTAAGACATCCACGGGATGGTATTGGGTAGTGGATATTTTTTCCGCCACTACACGGCAATGGCTGGCTGGCAAAGGCTACGCATTACGATCGACAAAACACGTCGTGTGATTTAAATGCGTGATATGTCTACAAGGAAAAGGTGAGAACTGACCGAGCTTCTAGTTTTCCTATGGTGCTAGGGAGAGGAAGTAATTAAATCATGCAATTCCTGCGAAAACTCTCCGAAATGTGTCCTGTTTATATATACCACGATTTTATTTATTTTATTTTATTGTTTATTTAGTTGGAAAACTTACAGCTAATTTCTCCAATGTCAAAAGTCCTCAAAGCCCTTTAGACCTATAAGCATATCTTCCTTTCTCCTTAAAACTATTACTATAAGGGATGTAGCTCTAACTACGAGGCCCATACATTACAACCAGCATGCTTATCGCAGAGACAAATCTATTGAAACAGCCCTGATCAGTGTCATTGACAGGGTCGAAAAAGCACTGGAGGATAAAGAAATAGCTCTTTGTGCCTTTCTAGATATTGAGGGCGCCTTCGACAGTAGCCCCACATCACTGCTGATTGGGGGCCTGACATCTAAAAATGTTGACCCCACAACCATCAGATGGGGAAGTCGCTGCTCTCAAACGGAAAGGCAAAAATAGCGCTGTTTCAAACTTCGATTGAGGTTGCAACTACAAGAGGCTGCCCTCAAGGAGGTGTTTTGTACAAAATGGCAGACCTATGCATTGACACACTGGGTCATGCTGATGATCTTGTGATTATTGCGAGGAGCTTATGCCAAAGTACTTTATCGTCAATAATACAAAGAGCCCTAAACACCATAAATAACTGGTGTAGGGATAACAGTTTATCAGTTAATGCTGATAAAACTGTTATAATACCCTGTACCAAAAAGAGACAGTTGGACAAATTAGTCCAACCAAAACTTAATGGTAAAGAAGTACTATTTTCCACGGAAGATAAGTACTAGGGCGTCACAATCGACCAAAAACTAACGTGGAACTCTCACCTTAGCAACGTATGCCATAAGTCAAAAATTGCTTTAGGTACGTGCAGTCGTTTGGTCGGGAATGACTGGGGCTTGCGTCCCAGTATGATCCTATAGCTGTACAGCAGCATAGTGAGGCCGATTCTTACCTACACCTCCACTGTCTGGTGTTGTTGCACCAAAAGACGACTGCGGACAGACTAAATAGTCTACAAAGGACTGCCTGCTTAATATCAACTGGAGCTATGCGATCATCACCTGGAGCGGCTCTTTATGCACTTCTATGCCTAACGCCCCTTGATCTCTATCTAGACAAGGAGGCGAGGGCTAGTTTGAATAGGATTAACACCCAGGGCGGTCTGAGCTTGCTATCCTACAGATTGAGATCCATGCTCGACTCAATTAAGTAATCACCGGTCTTATGCATGATCTCAGATATCATGCGTCCACTACATAATTTTGATAAAAAAATATATGGAGGAATTACCATCCAGAGAAGACTGGCTTAATGGCCAGGTTATCTGTGAGGTCGGTAGCCTCATATGGTATACCGATGGGTCTAAAATTGGCCTCGACGTATGCTTTGGAATTTACGGGGAACGCCCCTAATTCAAACTTAGCATGAATTTGGGTAGATACACCTCTATTTTCCAGGCAGAAATTTTCGCCATACTTCGGTGTGTGGAAATCAATCTGCAAAAACACTACGTCAACCATACAATTTACATAAACTCTGATAGTCAAGTAGCACGGCTAGCGTTGAGGTCAAACTTAGTGAACTCGAAACTAGTTGAATACTGCGTGAACTGTTTAAACGCCCTGGGATGTAAGAACAGGGTCGTTTTAAGATGGGTTCCGGGTCACGAGGGTGTTGTAGGCAACGAATTTGCCGACGAACTTGCATGGGAGGGCTCAAAGTGCACACAATTTGGACCTGAGCCATTTTGTAGAATCTCAAGAAGCCTAGCCTAGATTGACCCTTGAAACTCTTTATCACAATAAATCACTTAAGACCTAGTCTGACACACCAGGCTTAAAACATTCTAAAACCTTAATGCGGGCTTTTGATCGTAAATTCGCCTCAGAAGCCCTAATATTAAGTAAAAATAAATTGCGCAATCTGGCAAGAGCCCCAACTGGACACTGGTGTCTTAAAAAGCACATGTCCATCCTGGGACTAAGCAACTCAAGGATGTGTCGGTTTTGTTCCATAACGGAAGAAACGCCTCAACACATCCTAACTGATTGCGGACCCACAATGCGCAAACGTAACACTCATCTGGAAAACTATCTACTCCACCCAGAAGAATTGAAATTGCTCACGGCTAAGCAATTTCTTCTATTAATTGAAGACATAGGGCTTAGCCGTAAACTATAGCCATAGCAGCGATCACAATAGATCTTCTTGGTCGCAGTGATACTGGTCTCTTTCCCTAGACCTGCATAGCTGCTCGCACATAAAAAAATACAGCTAATTTACAAAAGTAATATAATTATAACAAAAATGAAGGTCATTAACAAGTTTTCACTTATATCGTACTATATAATAAACGAGATTGTGTCAAAAGATTTAAACATGTTTTACAGACTCGCTGGTTTAGTCGTCGTAGACGCGATTGTTGATTATGAGGTCCTGGGTCCAAATCCTGGGTTGGGCCATAATTATTTATTGAGGATTTTTGTCAAGAAATTTTCGGTAGCAGCCCGGAGTCAGGAAATTGGCGGTTGTTTCACTCCTGTGCCTTAGAAACCACTCTCTCCAGTCGTGACGGATTACCGTCCTATTCGACTATGAGAGCGAGGGAGTAGAGTGCATCTGTCCTTGCGTATACACTCATGCGCTATAATCCCGTAGTTCTTATATCTAGTCTCCGTTGAGACTGTCCGACGTGATCGAAATTCGGTCTTAAAGGCATTATTATTATTATGTTTGCAGGATAGTGAGACAAATCCATCGCATGACTGTATCAAGCCGGTGTGGACGTCTAACACTGCGTGCAGACGGAAAATGACGGATCTGATTCAAGAACTGGTAGACGGCGGAATGTTATGAAAACAAAATAATTAATGTAATTTATTTATTGACATTATAAAAATTATCAATATCTATAGAAATTAAACGGTAATATCTACATATTTGTTTATTTCTTTACCAGCCTAAGACTACAGTTGTCTTATTTTTATAAAATAAGGATGACAAATGAGCACACTGTCCATCTGATGGTACCACAGACGCAATGGCCCGCAAACATCTACATATATCCTCGATTAAGAATAAAAATTCTGATGCATCGTCATCCTTGAGGACTAGGATAGAATGCATCGTATCCAGTAAAAAGTGTCGCGGTTCTCTACACTTACCATACGAAACCCATCAATGTTGCAATCATAATATAGCTGCAGTGTCGCTCTACCACGTAAGTCCGTGTATAATATTTTCTCTTATTTATTCCGCCTATGTAGGGGATACTAAAATAATAATATTCTTCTATACCCCCCGGTACCACATGCAGGAAGTCGATGGATGCAGGTGGCTCAGGACCGTGCTTTGTGGCATACCTTGGGGGAGGTCTATGTTCAGCAGTGGACTTGTGAAAGGCTGTAATGATGATGAATGATGATGATACCCCTTTGGCCACCAATGCTAGGATCTGATGGAATTTCATGCGTGTCTTAAGATGCACTAATGAGAAACCCAGTAAAGGCTCCTCCTCTCCCTTTCTATCAATACTGCTTTCGTTATTCCATGTGCAAGTTACTTCCTGCCACTGGAGAGCCGACAATTTAATGATGAACTTAAATGAGCTGATAAATAAGAAAGAAAAATAGGAATCTGCAATAATTGCTCCGTGTTGTGCAGAACTATCCAACCCACAAACTACCCACAATAATGATCCAGAAAGTCTTTTTTCGGTTTATTGCCAAGTATGAAAGACATCTGCAAAATAACAAGTAGTCACAAAATATACATTACATTTTTAATGATATATGTATCTACATAATATGACATAATAGGTCTTCTGTAATAAGAATAATGCATTTATTTTTCAAATCTGAATAACTATGTTTCCAAGAACTTTAACCGATAGAATTAAACATTTCTGCACAAAACGGTCCAATTAATTGAAAGCAAACAATAATTTTGTGGGGATAAAATTTTATTGTATTTAGTTTAGTAAATAAACTTAATATACAATAATGAATCGGTGTTAAAACTTAGATTTATTTAGACTTTATAATAACATGCGATCTAAGTTGACTGTTGTTTTGTGACAATACGTTTTGTTATTCGATCACAAATTATACATATAATATAATTACAAAGAAAATGACTATTAAATAAATCAGATCTTTTTTATAACCGTTAATATTTTATCAGAATAATTAAATAAAATTTACTATATAAAGATTTTTTGATTTTAATAAAATAAAAAATAGCACGTTTACGACGGATGCCCTAATATGGGTAAATAAATGTTAGTAAATAAACAAAAATATGAAATTACCCGTACTTATTCGTGGCACAATAATTTAATCACACATTGAGTTCACAATTTTAATATCAAACTGTCTTATAAAACAAATATAAATTACGTACGGGTCCAACTGTTCATAAATTATCATCTTTTTATTTATTTAAATATTTAAATCCATAACAGATCTATTTAACTTTATTAATATTAAAAAAAATCAGTCATTGAAAGCTTCAGATTTCTTTGTTTATGAGATTCAAGCACTTTCAGTATCTGAAGTTTCCAATAATATTTCATAAAATTTAATGGTTAAGTTTAATATGTTTTTGTCTTTAATACTTAATTTCCTGGCCTTACACGTCCAGCTGCCGAGTATTTGCCAGAACCAACATGAATTGTTCCTGTACAAAATTATATTTGGTAATTCACTTGACACTGGCTCTTACACTGGATTGGGGAGTAACACCCAGTGTGCCTCTCCCTTTCGAGGCCTGGGTAGGTCTCATAAAGCCCGATGTTCTCGGCACGGTTTTCACTGGAGGCCTCGACGCGCCAACAGAACTGCCGCTAGATGAGGAACGGGATGCTGGCATACGTGGCGCTGGCTTTGGAACAGGTTTGGGCGCGACCCTCACGGGAGCTGCAGGAGCTCTCTTCACTGTTGCAACTGACGCTGAACTGTTTAGTGAACTCCTAGAACTCCGCAGGGATGTGCGGGAAGTAGACCTTTCTACCCTTAACGAGCTAGCCCTTTTCGCAAAGCTTCGTTTAGGGTCCAGTGGAGTTCGCGGGGGTGGTTTGGTCTCTTTGGTAGGAACTTTCTTTGCAGCTGCAAGTGCTTTTTCTGTTTTCGGTATTGGAGATTCACAGTCAATATTACAGCCCGATGAGGCACCTTGCGACGCACTCTCAGAGTTTAGACTCTGCGTTTCTTCGAAACCTTCATCATTCAGTTCGTGTTCACTCTTGACCTTTGGGATTCGCGGAGAGGAGGTCCTTTCCGTCGGTGTTGATACAGGGGCCTTTTCCAATTTAGCATTCATAGAATTTCTATACGTATTTCTTGACCACACACCAGTCGGGGTCTCTGTTGGCGATTTAAGCTCCCTTATCGCCTTTTGCACGTCTTCCTGATTAATGGACGTTTGTCTTCTCATTCGCGAGTATGGCAGGGACTTTGTTTCTTTGGTCGGCGTTTTTTCTGTGCTTTGGCTTTTCAATCTGTCCTGCCAACGTTTCAGTCTGTTCTCTTTTTCGTCTTTAACGACTTCTTCAATTGGCTTTGCTACCTCCTTTGAAGAATCGACATATGACGCTTGAACTTCTAACATTGACGGGCGAATAACTTGCGTTTCCGCAACTAATTCCGTCGGATTTTCAACTTTCTTTTCCTCTTCTTGGGAACTGGACTCTGTATTTCTCTTGTAGCGTCTCGTTCTTCTCGCTGCTGAGAATCTATCAAATTGTCCGTCACCCAAAATCTCCTGACATAGGTCTCTCATTTCCGCGGAAGCTTTATCGCTCAGAGTTGGTTTGGTAGGTGTTGATGGTTGGAATTTTCGACAAGGTTCCTTATCTGGGGGTGGATTGATGAGTTTACGTTGAGCTGGTGGAGTTTCGATGTTGTCGGAATCAATTTCAATTCGATCTGTGCGTTCCATTCTTGTCTCTTTCTCACTGGTAACTTTGATGTCAGGTAATTTTCGTCGTTCTTCTTCGGTGATAGGCACTAGAGGCTTTGGTGCCTCTATTTGCTGCCGAGATCTCTGCCTGCGTAGCCTTCTTATCTCCTCATTTTCTTCTGTTTTCCTCCACGGCAGTCTGTTGTCCTTTTTCGGTGGTTGCACATCTGAAAATAGATATGATATTATTTAAATTTTCTAAGGAAATATATTAGGAAATAAATTGATTCAAGTCAGTAAGGGTATTCGCTAGCTATAAGCTCGCTACACTGTTTGATTTTGTAGCCATAGTTGTGAGTTAATTTAAGTCAATAACATGAAGAAAATTAAGAACAAAGTTACTAAAGTGCACTTTATGGTGATTACTGTTAAACTGTTGAGATAAAAAGTAAAATGCAATAATTAATGCAAAGCTATACCCGATAACTAAATTGGAACACCTCATTCCTAGGTATTCAATATTCATGCCAAATTGCCAAATCTTGAAATTTCAACTAGTTTTTTCACAAAAAGAATATATGTCCAGTTTCAATAATATATTTCTGTGCAATACTTTTTTCTTGAACAGATTCCGTCCATTATAAAACGTAGTTTATTGATAGTATTGGATTTAAATGATTGTTTAAGAAGAGACTTTTTATCAATTAAGTCCTTTAGTCGCGGCGCCTCAGTCTGCGCGAAATTGAACATTTTTGTTGTTAAATTCCATAGGTACTCTATATTTTGGTTCGCATATTTTCCACGTTAATGCCTATTAAACGTCCACTTTTGGACATAGGCTTTCCCATAGATTGCTTCATAGGAGGGATATTTGCCAATTTGCCACACTTGGCAGACGGGTTGGCAATCACAGTTTTTATTTTTGGTTGCTATCAGAAAGATACCGCTGCCCATCTCCTGTTTTGTTTCTCTCTGTCGTCTCTTACGATACCCACGGGATGATACGGGGTAGTGGGTATTCATACACCGTCCCTACATGGTAGTATGTGGTAGGTTTATTTTGTACCGGATTTTCTTTTTTGAAACAGGCTCTAGTTAAATCATGACATTAATAATAAACTACTTTTTGTGATAAGATGGATTGAGTTTCACATTTTCTTTATATAGTAGGGGTGACAAATGAGCACACAATCCATCTGATGGTAAGTACTAAATGTTGTGGCCTTTAGACACCTACATTTACTGTCGATTAAGAATCAAGATGAGTTGTCACCCCTGAGGTCTATGATGTAATGCCTCGTTTACAGTAAAAAGGATCTTCGTTTCTCTGCACTCACTGTATGAAACACGGCACCATGAATCGCTATTTTACGCTAGTATTCGTGCTACAATATAACTGTAGCATGGCTCTACCACTTACAAATGTATGTGGATGCGTGTCAGTGTGTATGCACGTGTACGCGCATAGGTGCGTGTGCGTATCAGTGTATGTGCATCTGTACATGCACGGATGCCGGTGCGTGTCAGTGTGTGTGTGTGCACATGTACGTGCATGCGTGCGTGTGCGTGTTAGTGTGTGTGCTCGTGTAATCGTGTGTCTGCGTGTCAGCGTGTGTACACGTGTACGTGCATGCATGCGTGTGCGTGTCAATGTGTGTGCACGTGTGCGTGTAAGCGTGCGTGTGCATGTGCCTGTGCGCGTGTGCGTACCCTCGACGGCCTCGAGCGCACGCACGACGTCGCTGTCGGGCAGCACGGCGGGCCGCCACTCTGCACGCGCGTCCGCCCCACCCTCCCCCGTGCCTTCCGCCAGCGGCTCCAGTGTCGTGCTGCGTTCGCTCTCTGCTCACCAAAATGTAAAAGAAAAATTATGATATCGTTTTAAGCATTTGTGTGTATACTAATTTTCGTACACTAAGAACATTTGACAATGATCCACAACTTTTTCTGTCAACAGAGCGCGCCACTTTGGAATGAGGCGTATCATTTGACAGATTTCATGGTGAGGAATTTATTAAAATAGTGTAAATATTAAGTTGTTTTGTGGCCGTGAAAGGCAAAGGGGAGATCTCCCGCCGGGCAAGGTGTTCTGCCCGGGGAGCGGCCAATACTCCGTGCGATAGTTCGGAGATGTTCTATATATGCTGTTTATGATTCGGAATGTTGATAGCGTGATTTAGGTTTGGCTTGCGGCGCGACGGCAGTGCCGCCACAGTTTTTATTTTATTATTCAAAACGCAACTATTCAATGAAGATAATACTCTGTGACCATTTCCGTGATAAATAAAATTAGCTCGCTCCCTACTAGTGACATCTGGTGAGCGTAAGAATATCAGACCTCATTTGTATACTTTAAATGTTGGGTATGTGTAATTAAGATACGTTTAGGGCTTTTGAGAGCTCCACCGTTTGAGCAGATGTAATAATTTCATCCATGTTGCCAATTTAACCTTTTGTGGGGTCAAGGTTTATTCCAAAGTAAAATAATCTTGTAGGTACATTTATATCTCACTTTTCTTTAATAATGATTTCATTTCTTTGATGATGTATATATAGTGGTAAAAATGCGTAGTGGTTTTGAGATATATTTTGTTTACGAACAATTGTCCATTGAAGGATTATTTTTATTTTCCAAACATTTTGTAACAGTACGTAATATAACAAATGTACGATGCTGTACAGTATTCCAGTCAGCACCATGAAATTTATTTTCATTTAACTAGTCGTGTAGTTGATTAACACGAGGAAATATGTTTTGTGAGTGCAGTGAAGTTATCGAACTGGTTTTAAATTCGACACGCGTGTTGTTGATAAGTAGTTTCATTGTACACTACTTAAGTTATAAAGTATGTGCGGCGGCGGCACATGCCGAAAGTAGTCTGCTAAGGCAACATAAAATTATCCACGTTCCGTATATGTATCATCCGTAAACATTAATAACATCGCTCAAATTATATATGCAAAAATTATGTTCAGGTCCAAGAATGCTGCCCTGCGGAACACTAATAAGTATAACATCGTCAACTCATAGTATTTAGGGTCTGTTTAGTGTTGGCATATGACATATCTCTTATACCCAGATTATCGCGACATCTTTGAAGTGATCAATTGAAAAAAAAAATTGTTTTATTTTTGGTATAATAGTTGACAATTCGCCTGCTGTCTAATGGGGAGGTGTATGTGGTGTATGTAATGTGTGAAATAAATAATAATCGCCATGCATCACATGACACAAGTATTGATAATATTGAGCGCTTTAAAAATAAATATATTCTTTATAAATGCTCACCTATCATTTTTTATGTCAGACAATTTTCAAGATAGTGGTTCTGTCTATCAGTGTGAGATTTTACTGACAGAGTATGTGGTCAACTTAAAGACAATTTAACGAAAATATTACGTAATCATAACAATAAGTTAACGAAAAAAAGATGCACTATGAATGTTGAAGTAAGGCTAATGACGTAATAGAATATTTAAGACATTGATCGTATCTTCTTAAGCTTTTGATGGTATACAGCACAAAAATACATTTTTAAATTAGTAAGTATTATCACATTCTTGCCTATGCACGAATTTTTATATGTTTCTATAAATATTCTATCATCTTATCTTTCCAGGCCGAAACTTAAAGAGTTAGTATAAGCAGGCCTACATCGTTAATATTAAGTTTGCGAGTGGGTGCTCCACAGGGACTCTTCCTTGATCTGTTTTAATTTAAGCTTATATCAATGATCATTATGATTCCTTTATAGCTTCCAAGTTGTTTCTTAAATTATTATATATTAATAGGTAAAAGGTAAAGTGCGTACTTAATAGATAAAGGCGTACTTTTAAAATTTAGTTGCTAAAATTTTACCAGAACAATACGATCCATAAATCGTAATCGGAGACTCCAAAACCCCCGGCGTAGCAAACTTTATAGACTGATTGATGCAGGATTTATCTGTTCAATTAAACTCTTAAAAGTAGGGATCAGTAGGAAGCTGTGCCAGTGGGTCGGTCTAGCTCGAATAACTGACCACCGCTAGGGAAGGTTCACAATTGGCAGTTCATGGAGTGCTGACCTGACCTGTTAAGATATGCCGGAAGTCAGGAAGCTATGTTCAGCTGTGGACTTATGAAGAACTGTAATGATGATAATAATGAGTTAGAACGGTTTCTGCCGCATATTGGAACAGTTATTATTTTATTTTATAGTATAGTAATAAATTAAAAATCAGAAACAAATATCTAACCGGAGTCGTTTTCCAAGGATCGCCTGTTCGCCTGTAGCCGCCTCGCACGCTCGCGAAGCTCTGCGTCTCGCTTTTCTTCCTGACTGTTCGCTCGTAGCCATGACTCGATTTTCTGTCTCCATTCTCTGAAATCACGAAATACATTATTAGAAAAGCGCCTGACAAATACTCCTTCAAAAAGTTGATTCGCGAGTATCTACTAAGGAATCATTGGGAATAAAATATTGTTAAATAGTCGTATTTATACTTATATATCAATTTTATATTTATGTATTTCAGTACACACCCTTATCGTTACAGCCCTTCACAAGACCACAGCTCAACATAGGTGTTCCTCATAGATCCCCTCACAAGGGGGATATATGCCACTGTTGCCACGCTTGGCAAGCGGGTTGGCAATCGCAATTTTTTATTTTTAGTCGTTATTAGGAAGACGCTGCTGCCCATTTCACCATCCGTTTCTTTCTGTCGCCTCTTACGACACCCAGCGGATAATATGCCACTCCACGGTACACACACACACACACACACACACACACACACACACACACACACACACACACACAAATACATAAATACAAAATCAGTGTATTTACTTACAATATTGTAAGACCATATATTTTGTTACATGTAATGTGTGTTTATTGTAGATTCTGTTATTTTCTCCTTTTTTTAATAGCTACATTTACTACGTCACATATTCAACATTCCATGTGTTGGCAGGTAGAGAATACTTTTAGGCATTAAGTGTATCCAAGTTATTCAATAAAGAAAGAAAGAAAAACATATCACTATGTATTGTATTTTATATTTTCTTTAACGTGTCACTTAATTTAAATAATGTGATACTGAAGACATACTTGGGTTTAGCGGGTGCGGTGGCGGGCGCAGCGTGTATTGCGTCGGGCGGCGCTGAGGGTGCGGGGGAGGCGGGCGGCGCGGGGGACGCAGGGGAGGGCGCGCGCTCGCGTCCCGCCTCCGGGATGTCGAGGCGCGCGCGCACGGGCCCGCGCCGTGACCACGACCGGTCTACAAACAGAAAACAAATATGAATAGGCTACATGGCCCAGTGGTTTAGCAATGTTAGAATCCAGCACGGAACAAGCATATTATTTATGACCTACAAATAATTGTTTTGGGTCTGGATGTCTGTCCTTGTGAAATTCATATATGTACCCACGATACAGGAGAACCTCTGAGAGCGTCGTTCTTCCACGGTCGATCCAACACAGTCGCGCTACATCTATAATATAGCTGCAGCATAGTACTAGATCAGTAGTAGAGCCCTGCTTGCATATCGTCATACATCTCACATGGAATATAAATTATAGATAAAGAATTACACGTTTGCATACTGTTGAACGTCAGAATTTGTTTGGAACCGACTAAAAACTGCGCAGCAAGTTGTAGCTTATGCTAAGACGATCCCTTCCACCACTTCATCTTAGCACATGATTTTTGTTTTAATATAAGTGTGTGTATTTCTAAAATAAAGTTTGTAAATAGTTTGTACAGCCTTTCTTATTGTACACTTTATTTACTTTAAATAAAAAAATACCCCTGCGATTCTTGCTGCTTATTCCAGGACAGAGATTTATGTATGAACCAGCGTTTAAAGTATAAAATGATTTTAAATAAGAATTACATGTAATTTATATTTAATAAAAAATAATCTATTCTATTTTATTCTATGTACTCCTTTTTTAAATAAATCATTTTGTAATGTATCACTTGTGTAGATGTGTTGGAATAAATGTCTATAATATATCTTTACAGCTCTGATACTTGCATACGTGAAGCATGGAAGCGGCAGTAGAAAGAGAGAGGCGTGTGTACCTAGACTGGTATTTATATTTTTATGCTGCGTTGGTGCTTCCTTGCTTATCCATGCATGAAAATGGAAGCGGCAGTGGAAAGAGAGAGGTATGTCTACCGAGGCTGGTCTATATGTTTTGATGCTGCCCTGGTACGTGTATGCGTGCATAAGCATGGAGGCAGCAGTGCAAAGAGAGAGGCGTGTGTACCGAGGCGGGTCTTTTATATAAATATGCTGTCATGGTGCTTCTATGCTAACTTCTATGCATGAACATGAAAGCAGCAAAAAAAAGAAGGAAACTAGTAAAAAGAGAAGGATGTGTCTACAGCATTTGCCGTGTAGTGGCGGTTGAGAATATCCACTATCCCATATCTTCCCGTGATGGTTCTTCAAGAAAGGTGACAACGCCCTCTTGAAGAACTACAGACCGATATCCATTCTGAGCCGCGTCTACGTGCTGTTTTCGAGAGTCATTACGAATCGTCTCGCACGCAGACTCGACGACTTCCAGCCTCCCGAACAAGCCGGTTTCCGAAAAGGCTTTACATAACCATACATCCCTTCGGCAAATTGTACAGAAGTCCGAAGAGTACAATCTGCCACTTTGCCTAGCGTATGTGGACTATGAGAAAGCCTTTGATTACGTCGAAATTTGGGCGGTACTACAGTCTTTTCAGTGGTGCCAAGTTGACTGTCGGTATATCGAAGTGCTGAAGTGTTTGTACCGTAGGGCTACGATGGCTATTCGAGTACAGAACCAGAGTACGAAACCTATCCAACTGCAGAGAGGTGTAAGACGGGGTGACGTTATTTCCCCGAAACTCTTCACCGCTGCATTGGAAGACGTTTTCAAGCTACTGGACTGGAAAGGATACGGTATTAATATCAATGGTGAGCATGTCACTCACCTTCGATTTGCCGACGATATAGTCCTTATGGCAGAATCGCTGGAGGACTTAAGCACTATGCTCAATGACCTCAATAGTGCCTCCCAACGGATAGGTCTTAAGATGAACATGGACAAAACAAAGATCATGTTTAATGTCCATGTCACACCCATGCCGGTAATTGTTGGGAGCACTAAGCTCGAAGTTGTTGACGAGTACGTTTACCTGGGACAAATAGTCCGGCTAGGTAAGTCCAACTTCGACCGAGAGCTCAATCGACGGATTCAACTCGGCTGGGCAGCGTTCGGGAAATTACGACATATCTTTTCGTCAGGTATACCTCAATCTCTAAAAACTAGATTGTACAACCAGTGCGTGTTGCCAGTGATGACTTACGGATCTGAGACGTGGTCTGGACGGCTGGGCAGCGTTCGGGAAATTACGATACATCTTCTCGTCAAGTATACCTTAAAACCTGAAAACTAAGTTGTACAACCAGTGCGTGTTGCCAGTGATGACATATGGAACTGAGACGTGGTCCTTCACTGCCGGCCGTATGAGGACCCTCAAAGTCGCTCAGCGAGCTATGGAGAGGGCTATGCTCGGAGTTTCTTTGCGTGATAAACTTAAAAATGAGGATATCCGCAGTAGAACCAGAGTGACCGACATAGCCCAACGGATTAGTAAGCTGAAGTGGCAATGGGCCGGCCATATAGCTCGAAGAACCGACAACCGTTGGGGAAAAAAGGTTCTCGAGTGGCAGCCTCGTACCGATAGACGAAGTGTAGGGCGACCCCCCACTAGATGGAGTGACGACCTGGTAAGACATGCAAGAAGTCGATGGATGCAGGTGGCTCAGGACCGTGCTTTGTGGCATACCTTAGGGGGAGGCCTATGTCCAGCAGTGGACTTGTAAAGGGCTGTAATGATGATGAATGATGATGTGTCTACAGAGGCTGTGGTCTTTATATCTTTAGGCTGCATCGTTACCTCGATATTTATCCATTCAAAGCATGAAAGCAGCAGTAGAACACGAGTACTCTCCAAGGCTTGTCTTTATGTATTTATGCTGCCCTGGTAATTGCATGCGTGCTTAAGCATGAAAACAGCAGCAAAAAGAGAGGAGTATGTGTACTGAGGCTGGTCTTTACGTCTTTATGCTGCCCTGGTACTTGCATGTATGTACATATAAGCATAGAAGGAGTAGTTAAAAAGAGAGAAGTGTGTGTACCGAGACTGCCCCAGGCGCTGCGCTCGCGGAGATCCGCGGCGGCGGGCGAGGCGTGGCGCAGGAACTCCAGCAGCCCATCCTCGTCATCTGGGCTGGCACGACTGCGCCGTCGCAGACTGCCCGTCGGCGTGACGTCTGCAAACGAACGTTCTGTTTTACGAGTCGACTAATTGAAATGCAGAGTTCAAAAAGTAACTAATAGACTTCAGACGAATGGCGAAATAACCACTCCAGTCTTTATCCGACTAAAATGTTAAAATTGTAAAATAAAGAGTATTATTGAAAGATAATGTAATATTAATATTAGATTACAAAATTATAATGCTTTACAAAGTTTATGAGTCTAATGTATTTTCAGCCATAATGATGGGCAAAGGACATAATTAACAGTGTTACTACTTACTTTACTTGATATAGACAAAACTTATAGACAAATGTATAAAATATTAAACTAGCTGCAGCATCACAGGTGTGATGTATCTGGCATTGCGATCGCCAAAGGGAAAATTAAGGGAAAATCTTCCCATGTGCAGTATCACAACTACACGGCCCCCAAGTTCCCGGTCGCGATTAACGGTCACAATACCTGACCTTTTGACGACTCCGTGGCGCAATGTTGTTCCGAGTCTGGATGTTTGTCCTTGTGAAATTTATGTATATGTAAACTGCCTCCATTATACAGGAATAAAACCTGGTGTGGAAGTAAAAAAAAAAAAAAGAAAAAATAATAAATATAAGATCTCTTGCATCTTTGGCACTGGAGCCCGCCTTCGGTAAGTGTGATGGTTATTATCATCCGCCTCATGTCTGAGGCCATCTGTAGCTGCCTCTTATTATGACTTTACGCGACACCCATAGCCCGAAACGGATTTGTAAAATGTCATTGTATACTTACCAGGAGATGGTGATGGATCGTGCGAAGGCTTCCTTAGCGATCTTCTACCAAGCCCGTTCCTGATGTCTAGAAGCAAGGACTCCATCAGCGACTCGCACTCTGACACCGGTGTGCTACACATACTGCCAGCTGTGTTGAACATTTGGATATTAATAAATTAAATTATAAACTATGTTTAAAACCATGTATTGTTCATTCATTTTCGTCATTATAAAGAAAGAAAGAAAGAAAATATTTACCCTTTTATTCATAAAGATTTTTATACACTTGATTAGTTAAATAGTGTTTTGTCACTTTTTAGCAACAAGTGTCACGCAAATGTCAGTATGAGACAAAACACTGTTCAACTAGTCAAGCGTTTAATTATTTTTATGAATAAAGGGATTATTTCGCTATATAAACACAATGCCATATTATACATAATGTTTTCTCATTGTGGACGTTATCAATAAAAAGTACTATACAGTGCCGGACGTGATGAAAAGGGAGAGCAGTCCTTTTAATAGGATTGTGACGCTGTAAATTTTCATACAAAAAGCGATAACGTTTCCCCCGTGTAAATATAGTCTAAAAAATAAAAAACTAGGTCAGTAGGCTTTTATTTTGAAGAAATATTGTTTACGATATAAGGTATTAGCATCTAAATATTTATATTTTTACGTTGCGTTTGAATTTTTTTAACCGACTTCAAAAGTTTTTTATATGTGTTACCTCAGAACATTTTTCTGGGTAAACCGATTTCGATGTTTCTTTTTTTATTTGAAAGCTAGTGCTTCTTGTGTTATCCCACATAGGTATGATCAAGATCTGGTCATGGTGTCACCGCGTTACCTGCTCGTGTCCGTGCAGCATCGCGCGCCGCGTCCCGCGCACGGCGCCGCGCTGCCGCCTGCTCGTCGTGCGCGCGCCGCCGCTCGTTGTCCGCGACCGCAGCGCGGAACTTGCTGCAGAACGACACGAACGTCTGCAAACGCGTTATCCTCAATGAGAGCATCCATAGCTTTTTCTGCTACCAGAGCGATTTATAGGGCGGCGCGGCGCCACTTAACAATGAGGATAGATTTTATGGAGGGGAAGAAAGAACATATTTATGTATTGTTGCAACTTGCTTTTACAAAATAATAATTAAAAAACCATGTGTGCAATAAAAGTAAAACACGCGATAAAAGTAAAACCTTCAGTAAAGGAAACCCAGATAATAGGAAACATTGAATACTGCATCCTATCTCATTCCCTCGCAGGCGAAATCCTATTTTGCCTTGCCTCTTTTCAGTGTCGCTTTTTCTTTTCCTTGACTTTCAAATCACAACGATTCTAAAGAAGCTTTCACTTTAAAGAAATGGGCTGGAGTAACAAAAAGACATCGATTAAGCAAAATTCTGCAGTAACGGAGTTACCACAGCGCTGATATTCTATCGGAGTCACATAACTCAACTCACGAGCGATCGCTGGACATGATTTAGTACGATCTATGTTATAACTTATAGTCACTAAGTACTTAAACACAGTTAAAATTAAGTGTAATAGTTAAATATATTAAATATGGAGGGAAAGTCCAATTGTTAGAAAAGTATAAATATTAATGTTTCTTTCTGAAGTATAAGTTATATTAAGTCTGTTGTATTGTACTAAGATACTGTCGGTGCACCCAGAGGGGCATTTATTATTTCGCTTTTATTTTATTATTATTTATATTATTTTCTACTCTAAGAATAAAATAGATTACTATTTATTCTTATAGTTATTGTAATAAAATATGAATATAAATAATGAACACAAGTTTGGAAGCAAAGAACAACGCTTCATGCTAAAATACCAAATTCTCCTGCGGGTGTACGCCGCAAGCGGAGACCTTTGATGCCGCGGCGGCGCCTTTAACAGGATGCGGCACACGCCAAGGCGGTGCGACACAAAGGCGACCGTACTATACTATATGTACATGCTAGCGCACAGAGCGAAGCGAACAGACTATACTTATACTTACAAACTACCCGTCCCAGCTTTGCTTTCGTTGTAATGTGACGTTAGTTAGATTAAAGATAATTAGATTTGAGACTCATCTAATTTTAATACCGCGGTGTGTGTAAACTTCAAAGTGCTAAATTGATTTAATACTTACTTTAAAGCAATCCTCGAGTTTAAATACAACTGGATCTTCACAGAAGAACTCTGCCAGTTGTTTCCTCATGCTCTCCACTTCCTCCATGTCTTTGTTCAATGCAGATACTTCTCTTTCTGCATCCTGTTATAGACCAACAATTCAACTTTTAACAAGTTTTTCTTTGGTAGTTTTTATGATCGCGACCACGCTCTGACAGAATACTAGCGTAAAACAGCAGCTTAATAGTGTTTCCTATGGTTCGTGCAGAGAACCGGAGGACTCTTTTTACCAAAAACGAGTCATTCCATGTCAGTCCGCAGGGATGACAACGCATCTGCTTTTTGATTCCTTATTGAGGATACGTGTAGATGTCTATGGGCCGCAGCATCCACTTACAATCAGGTGGACTGTTTTCTCGTTTCAGCATATCATCATCATCATCATCATATTCTACTGTTGGAGATGGCTCTCCTGTTGTAAGGAGAATTGACCTTAATTGTCACACTTGGTAGGCCGATTGATGAGCGCAGAACTAGGTTTGGATATTAAACACCTGACGTAAGGAAACGGTAATACCGCTATCTAACTGTTACCATTATCGTTACAGTGTATAAAAGTCCACTGCTGAACATATTCCTCCCTCATAGATTGCTTCATATAAACAATTCATATGAAATTTATTGCTTCATATGGAATGCTTCAAGGGGGATATTTGACATGGTTGCAGCGTTTAGAAGGCAGATCGGCAACCGCAGTTTTTCCCATCTCTAGATTTGTTTCCATGTGTCGCAGTCCACTGCTGAACAAAGGCCTCGGCCACGAAATGCCACAAAGCACGGTCCTGAGTCACTAAAAAGTACATTAAACAAATTTCACAAACAACAATCAAGCAATCAGAAACCTTTATCGCTGAGCTTCGTAGTTACCGTATGGAGGCGTCGAGAGAATCCATCACGCCATTTTGTCCCGTGGGTGACGTAAGAGGCAACTAAGGGGTATGCTTAAAAATCTCTTGGCTTATGACCGTCTAGTGGCGGTGTAAGAATATCAACTACCCCCCCCCCATATCGTCCTGTGGGTGTCGTAAGAGACGACAGAGGGAAATTGAAACATGATGGGCAGCAGCATCTTCCTCCTAACAACTCAAATTACAAAAAAAAAAATACGTGTGGCACTCGGGGACTGCCGCGGTAAAGCTATTGCATAGCATTTTTTATCAACTTATGCAATTATAATTATTTATTTATTTTATTTATGCAGTTAAGTCTTTGATATTAAATCAAGTTACACTTTTTAAACGTGGTGACCAATAAGAAAACAATTTTTTTTCTCTTATTGAATAAATGAGAAGTTAATACTGTTTAAAATATTTTTAATATCTTACAATACATGTACTCGTAGGTTATTCAGAAATTTTTATCATTGAGTTAGTAGCTAGTGTACACGCATACGTCAAGTCGCACGCACACAAACACCGTGCCGAAGTCTGCCGAGTGCCGAAGTCTGCCGAACTGAAACGACGTTAGACGATGCACGGCTTTCAACGCCACACCTCCGTGCCCGTCGGAGTGGGGAGCGTGAGGTTTTTTTCGTTACGGAATTTCTGGATTCGGTCCCCGCGCTCAAGGCCCGCGATAGAAGCTATGCAATAGCTTAAAAAACAACGGTAGACAAACCACTGTCTAAGCGTGTCAATTATGGCAAAATACCCCCTATAAAGTAATTTATGGGGGAGGCCTATGGTCAGCAGTGGACTTTTATAGGCTGTAATGGATGGATACACTACCGAGCACCGAGTTCACAATGTGAAGAAGCTTACCATACGATATGCTTCTTCACATTGTGAAGTCGATACGGTGAGCTGCTATTTTACGCTGGTATTCTATGAGAGCGTGTCCCTGGTTGGTCGGCTCGCGCTGCTATCATAATATAGCTGCAGCATGGTTCTACCACGTGTTAAAGCAAAGTTTTGAAACCAAGGTAAGGGTTTAAAAACAGTATATACCTGTAAGAAATCGCCCATCTGGTCTTTTATATCTTGTTGAGTGGTTGGCAGCTGGATATCTCTTTTGAGCGTTTTGATCCTCAATTCCAAAGTCTTTATCTCGTTGTGTAGCTGTTCCACGCTGGCTTTGGCTGCTTCTTCTAACACACGAATGTCATCCGCGAAGTGGACTAGCTCCTTGTTTTTTCGTTCTGCTTGCTGTAGGAGAATATATTTATATTTACTGTAATAACAATTTATTAACGTTACTTAATTTATTCGATTTCAGTAGAACATATCATACAGTTTTGTATATGTTCTGCTCTTTTGATAAAAATGTTTTTTGGAGTTTTACAATTCGACGATGTATTTCTTGTGTGTATGGTTACGCGATATCTTCGTCTATTGTTAACTCATTTTGATGATTCTTTAATTTAAATTAAATATGCAAAACTTCAGAACTGGTTCCATACAAATTGGGATAAGATAATTCCATCCCCAATGATGGTGAAATATGTGATAAATTTTTCTGTTGCGTAAGTAGCTGTTCGGCATTCCGTCTTAGTCTTTAGAGCTGACTACGCATCTGTAGCTTGCGTCTTCTAGTATCTTCTTTGTACAATATCGGCTAAAGGTGACCATGGACTGCAGTAGCCACTTACCATCAGGTGGACTGTAATTTTGCTTATAATTTCAGTTTTGTAAAAAAGATCGAGGGGAGAGATAGAAAGAGAGGGAAAGAGAGAGAGAGATAATAAGGTTGTAATTACCATGGCGAGGTAGTGCATGAGGTTCATCCCGGGCCGGTTGGCGCGGATGTCGGGCAGCTTCTGCAGTGAGCCCAGGCGCACGCCCGCCGCACCGCCCGCGTACCCGCCCGCGTTCAGGAAGTTGCCCGCGATCAGCGCCAGGTACAGGATCTCCTGCAACCGACCACAAGATCAAGCAACACTTGGCACTGACTATTGTTGTTCCTTTTAGAATCGTTGTGAGTTGAAATTAAAACAGTAAAATTAAAAAGAGACAAACATATATACGGCTATAAGATTTAGGCTGCAATTTTACTCGAAAAAAAAATATTCTTTTGATGTATAACATTCACACAGTCGAGCCGACCCATTCATGCTACAACCACAATATAGATGCAGCGTGGCTCCACCACATTAAATCCATTGTTGAACCAGTCTCTCTGTTGGTCTGTATTGTTAAAACAGTTATCATTGTTAATCATTATTGCTCTCATAAGTTAAACGTAAGATTCTTTCAAGGAATATCTTTCCATACCATGGAAAAGCTAGGCTCAGAGTTTCTCTGCGTAATAGAATCCCGAAAATATCCGCAGGAGAACTAAAGTCCTTACGCTTTCGTCCTTACGCTGAACGACTTTAAGCTCTCTTATACGTCGAAGAAACACATCTCAGATCCATACATCATTAATGGCAACATGCACTGGTTGTACACCCTTGTTTTCATGTTTTGAGGGACACCTAAAGAGATGTGACGCGACCTCTCAAATTATGTCCAACTAAGTTGGATCCGTTGTCTAACCTTTTGTCTAAGTGGGTCTTACCTAATTGGACTATTTGGTATTTGTCCTAGGCAAAAAAACGTTAACAACGTCAGGATTGTTTTATCTACAACTAATGACATATATGTGATAGAGCTTTGTGCACGATTGATAATACAATCAAACAAAGTATATTATTTACTAGCAATCCGCTCGGCTTCGCATGGGTAATTTTTGTATCTCAACAACACATGCATGTATTATACATATAAACCTTCCTGTTGAATAATTTTGTCTATAGATGAAAGTCACATCAGAATCCGATGCGTAGTGTAAAAGATCTAAGCTTACGGACGACGGGAAGCGTGTTTGTTTCATACTATGTACATTCAATAATATTACCTGTATAGCTCTTGAAGACATCAAATCGTCTCCAGCGACTAGAATAGCATTTATGGCACTCTCCAAATAACCTGCGGTAGAAGGCCACTCTTCTTTTAAGAGCATGCACTCTATGCGCAGCTTGTAACTGAAATCACGTACAAATGCATTTGTATATAATGTGTCTACAATAATTATAATATTTCATTATACCCACTAAGAGGACTTCAAAACTTTTCCCATCACCAGAGCTGCGATACTGTCGGGGACAATGGCGTTGAAGAAAATTGTTAGAAAAGTGTGAAGAATAATGTTTATTTCTGAAATAGGAGTTATATTTTATACTAATTTATTTTAATTCCTATTTTGTTAATGTTCATAAAACTAAAGAGCACATAACTAAGGCATAGTTTAGCGTGTATATTAACTTAAAACTGAAAAACTTTTGTTTTAAAATAACTTTATAATTATATGGCATCTCAGTTCAAACTAGCGACATCTGGTGAGAAGATTATTGAAAAGACCAGGTGGACTACTTACTTCGGTAACTGTATTAATTGTAGAAGGAATTTCTCGGCGTTTCCTAACTTCGTAACATCTCCTGTAAATGCTTTGAGCATCTCGCATTCATCTATTTCTGGTAGGATTTTCAGGAGACCTCGCAATTTTTCAGTGCCAATGTCGTCGTGCGAACCCTCTCGAATAAGTTGGATTATATCTTCGTTTGAACTGAAAGCGACATTTTTTATATTTGTATAAATATATTTAATTTTTTAAAGTTTTTAAGTTACATTAGTAAAGTTACGTTAGTACTGACCGTAAAATACAAAGTGGGGTTCAAATCTAACACTTTCTTACTGTCATGAACCTTATTGTAATTTTATTTTCACGCCTCTCAACGCGCGAACGTGTGGGAGTGCTCTACTCTCGACATGCAGCTATGTGACGATTTTGCAATATATAATATTGTAATTACGTCTTAATTTAGACATTAAATCAATAAAAAAGGAATGTTCTAAACACGAGATACATTAAATTATAAATTCAGTATTTTTTTAATTTGTTTAGTTATATTTACAAAAAATTTAGTTAAAAAAATTATTACAACGGTTGTCAGTTAATCTGTGCACTTGTTTGTGTTCACGTTTCAGAAAAATATATGCAACGAAACGAAATAAATATTTCCGAATAAGTTTCCAGTTATCCTCAGTATGGTATTGCTGGTTGTTATCAGACTCATAGACGTTTAAAAAAAATTTTTTTTTTCATCAAAACGAAATGAAATTTTGATTAAAAAAAATAAAACCGCTCATGAGGCGTGCACTCTTGGATTTTCGAAGCTATTATTATATTAGGTTTACAAACGAGAACAACGTCCACCTGATAGTAAATTGCACTGTGGCCCATAGACATCTACATGTATTCGCGATTAAGAATCAAAGTGCAGATGCGTTGTCACCCCTGAGGAATGAGATGGAATGCATCATTTCCCGGTTTACATACACCATACCGTTCCCGTAGTGTATATATTCTTTGACCATACGAAACACATCTGCATTAAGCTGCTATTTCACGCCGGTATTCTGTGAGAGCGTGGTTTTTCCCTAGTCGATCCGACACATTCGTGCTACAACCATAATATCCCTGGAGCATGTCGCTACCACTTAGTGGTGTTATATTATGGTAAAGTAGTTGTTTTAATTTTATAATCTGCAATTGTTATAAAAATACAATAATTATAGTTATTAATTATTTTTTTTTAGATTTTTCTTTTATTTAAAAGTTACCTTCGGAACTGTTTTAAGAATATATTGACGTTTAAGCTCCTCTTGCCATCCAGGAGTGTTATTTCAGAAGCCTCTTTTCTAGGCTTTCTTTCACCGGAGCTGTCGCAAATGGGACTGCGGCCTAATCTCGGAGATGATCCAGCTGAGCCAGTGGGCTGAACCTATAAGAGAAAGATAAAAATTAGACCTCCCTTAAAACTTAAAGGAAAATTAAAGCAGAAACAGTCTTATGGAAGCCACGCACGGTCAGTTCAACTGATCATTCCAACTGATCAGTTCAAACTAAAACTGTTGATATTTTTTAAAATATTGGATTTTCGATATATTGATAATTTTAAATATATCAATATCGGAGTTTTATATATAACTTTATTTATCGATATATCGAATAAATAATAAACCAATATTCATTTATTCAGATCATTCCAACTGATCAGTTCAAACTAAAACTATTGATATTTTTTAAAATATTGGATTTTTGATATATTGATAATTATAAATATATCAATATCGGAGCTTTATATATAACTTTATTTATCGATAAACCAATATTAAAAAAATATCACCAGTTTTAGTTTGATCAGTTGGAATTATCAGTTAAACTGACAGTGTGTGGCATTAGAGAATCATTGACGATAGACGATATAAGTAAGTGTTCTTTGGGTAAAAACTTGTACTTATACAAAAAAACTTGTACATAGTAAAGACGTGATCCCTTCACTGTTGCCTCAACGAGAGAAGATACGCTTTTATCAACTCTATTTTTCTTGTCCATCTGTTTGTTTGCCTGCTCTTCTTCTTGCTTTCCCATCCTTTACACCGGAATACAGCAGATCATGCACGAATAACTAATAAGGGTGGCAGAAACAGGTGAGAGGGTGGCGATAACATTGACGTACTTCTAATCTTAGCGAAGCCAGTACCTTTCTCGTCCTAGGACCGCCTGTACTTTGCGGTCGCTCAAAATTATTAATTTGGTTTATTAACAGGTTATACTTTGATAAAATATCATATAGCTATACATTTATCATTTCTTGTAAAGAAAATACGCTTATTTTTTTAATTTTGTGTGACAAACAAACACCTGTTCTATCTGGTAGTAAGCGGATGCTGTGACTTATAGATATCTACGTCCAACATTGACAAATAATTAAATTGCAGAATGCGTTGTTACCCCTGAAGACAAAGATGGAATGCTTTGTTTCCAGTATAAAGGGTTTGTGGTTTTCTACACTCACTATACGAAACAAAGCAGCTTGAATCTGCTAAGGTACGCTGGTATTCTTATTTTATAAAATAAGGGTGACAAACGAGCACACAGTCCACTTGATGGTAAGTGTATGTCGTAGCCCATAGATATCTTCATCTGTCCTCGATTGAGAATCAAAATGCAGATACGTTTTCAGTTATAAGGGTTTGTGGTTCTCTACACTCACCACACGAAACACAGCAGCATTAAGCTGCTATTAAACACTAGTATTCTGTGAGAGCGTGGTCTTTCCCAAGCATAAAATAGCCGCAGCGTGACTCCATCATGCATAAACGTTGCTTATACCATGTTAATGAAGAAAAAAAACAATAAATTTATAATGATTTTTTTCTTTAAGAAAACGTTACCTGCTGGCAAAATAATCCTTCGATTTCGCTCCAATCCAGCTCCGCTTTGGGTGAGTGCTTGTGACTGGAGGCCACAATCGCCCAAATGTTGTTTTGTCCAATTACCTGCGAATAATAATAGATAATTGCATAAATAGAAAAGCTTTATTTAATAGAATCATACGTTACTTAAAATACATTATTTTAAAGACGTTAAAAAGATTTAGCAAAGATCCGCGTAATAAAATAACATAATGTATCTTACTTAGTTGGAAGAGCACGTCCAGCTCTCCCTCAGGGGCTTTAAGCCAAGCGCTATGTCAATGTGGTTTAATGGTTATTGTACCTGATGAGTCCTAGGCCATGTGTGAGACGGAATCTTTTTGGCATCACATCACTCACTCTTGCCGAGACTTATTTTTAATTATGTTTACCATCTCGTACCTTGTGTGTTTTTAAGTTCTTATTTACTTCTAGATGTATACTTTGCGAGTGTATTGATGCTAATAAAACCTATGTCTATGTCTTTTTGTTGTTGTCAGTTGTTTGGTCAATTGTTATTGGAGTCAATAGTAGAGGTGGAAGAAAATCTATCCACTATCATCCCAATATCAACCCGTGTATATTATAAGAGACGACAGAGATCAGAGTAATAATGCCTACCAATCGTGGCAACTATGGCAAAAAAGCCGCCGACTATAATGCCTATATTTTGGGAAGGCTTATATTTATCACTGGATTTTTTATGTAATCAATAATGAATGAATGGATGAATCGATTCGTTTTTACTAGCTTATACATCTACCTCATACTTATCACGTTCAATTAAAAGTTGGCCGGGTAGTGGCGGCTTAAGACAGTCATCCCGTGGGTGTTGTAAGAGGCAATAGAGGAAAATGAAATAGGAGAAGGAAGAGCAGCATCTTTATGATAACAATTCAAACTAATAAAATACTGCGGAATGCTAAGCGCGGCACTTACGGTAAGTATCCCCCCCCCTAATACGTAATTTATAGGATAGGCCTATGTTTAGTAGTGGACTTTTAATAGGGTTCGAACGAATGAATGATTGAATGAATAAATAGACTTGAATCCATCTAGATTATGCAATGGATCAAAATTTGAAAACAATCGTTGAAGAACTTTCGGAGATCTAAGATTTTCAAACCAACGAACGTTACTTTATTAAATATTTATATTATTAATTTTTTTTATGGAAGAGGGGGCAAACGAGCATGCGGCTCACCTGATGTTAAGTGACTACCGCCGCCCATGATCAACCGCAACACCAGGGGAATTGCAGGTGCGTTGCCGGCCCTTTAGAAAGGAGTACGCTCTTTTCTTGAAGGTCCCCAGGTCATATCGGTCCGGAAAAATCGCCGGTGGTAAACTATTCCACAGAGAGGTTGTACGCGGAAGAAAACTCCTTTTGAAACGTACTGTGGTGGACCGCCAAGCATCCAGATGGTGTGGATGGTATCGGGACGTTTGCCGCGTAGTGCGTTCACGAAATTTGGCGGCTGAGATTAATCCGAACAATTCCTCAAAGCACTCCCCATGGTATATGCGAAAGAAAACGCAAAGAGATGCAACATCTCTTCGCAGTGCCAGTGAATCAAGCCGATCGGAAAGCACTCGGTCGTCGACGATTCGAGCCGCTCTGCGCTGGATGCGGTCAAGTGGAAGGAGCTGGTACTGGGGAGCCCCAGCCCAGAGATAGGAATAGTATTCCATGTGCGGCCGAATGTGCCGGCATGAAATACTGTCCCGCTCTACTGAACACGTCAAGCTTTTTAGAGGCCAATTTAGCCTTCTCTTCCACGTCACCACGAAACTGCACGTCACACGATATGTCAACGCCGAGGATTCCGATACTCGCTGAGGCAGCAAGGGGAGTGCCTTGAAACCGAGGAGATACGACAAAGGGGTTCTTTTTAGCGGTTAACGCGCAAACTTGTGTCTTCTGGGGGTTAAACTGGACTAGATTTGGTCGCCCCCAATCCGAGACTCTGTTCAGCAAAGACTCGACTTCAGACACAAGTTTGTCCCGGCACTCGTAGACGTTTTCCCGAGAAATATTGGCTCGGCCGGTGTAAAGAGCATCACCAGTGCTGTCATCTGCATAGCAATGAATGTTACGGGTTTGCAACATATCATTGATATGCAGAAGAAACAGCGTTGGCGATAGCATGCAGCCTTGTGGAACACCAGCATTAATAGGCTTGCAATCGGAGCTTGTACCATCCACAACGACCTTGATGCTCCGATCTACAAGAAAGCTGGTGATCCAATCGCACAATTTCTCGGAAAGCCCATAGGAAGGGAGCTTCAAAAGAAGCGCTTTGTGCCAAACCTGATCGAAGACCTTCGCAATGTCCAAACTAACGGCCAATGATAATGTATAATGAATAGATGGGCGAAGGCAATAGAGTCCAAGGGGTAGGCCCTTGGACTCTATTGCCTCCGCCCATCTATGAGTTAGGTAGACCAGAAGATCACCAGCTGACCGACCACGGCGAAAACCGTATTGGCGGTTACTTATCAGCTGGTGATCCTCAAGGTACCTCATGAGCTGGCAGTTTACAATAGGCTCCATTGTTTTGGAGAACAAGGAGGTGATGGCGATAGGCCGGTAGTTGGACAGGTCTGAGCGGTCGCCTTTTTTAGGGATCGGGTGGACGAAAGCCGTCTTCCATGATTTTGGGAGTAAGCCTAGGGAGTAGGAGTACCGGAAAAGACGCGTTAAAACCGGTGCCAACTCTGGAGCACACGTCCTCAGCACAATTGGGGGGATTCCGTCAGGCCCACTCGACTTGTGGATGTCCAGGGAGAGGAGTGCTTTGCGAACCGAGCGCTATGTGAACTGCACTTCCGGCATGGTCGGCGGTGTACTCCCCCCGTCATCGAGAGTCGAGTTGGACGCAAAGAAAGAGCCTAGAAGATCGGCTTTCTCCTTTGCGGTATGGGCCAGTGAGTCGTCCTCCCTGTGCAGAGATGGAAAAGATGGCTGACAGAAATTCCCCTGGACAGCCTTGGCGTGATGGGCGTTAAAGTCGCCGAGGATCACGATCTCTGCGGACGGGATCTGCTGTAGCAACGAATCTGTAGCCATTTGGACGTGGTCGAAAAGTCGGTCTGTTTCGGTATTACCGCTATAGGATCTATAGAGGCACCCGTAGACGCGTGTATGGTCGTCGCTGTCTATGCGTAGCCAAAGGATGGACAGGTCCGAACCTTCAAGTCTGCCGAGACGTCGAGAACAGATGTCCTCTCTGACGTAAACGCAAACTCCAGCCCGAGGCACAAAGGAGTGTTCCAGTTTGTACCCCGGGTAGGAGAGATACGAGACATCAGCCGGAGAGGACACCTGCGTCTCGGTCAGGAAGAGCAGAGCCAGCCTCGCCGTCTCGAGATGGTAGTGGACGGCGTTTAAGTTAGAGTGAAGTCCCCTGATATTTCAGAAATTCACGGACAGCGTGGCAGGGGTCGCCTTGGTCTTATTGCTCCGTTTGCCCCGAGCAGTTGTAGTCTTGAGCGGAATTTTGCCACCCCCCCCCCCAGAATACGCGAGGCAGCCTGAGCACCCACGTGCAGAAATGGAGAAACATGGTCGTGGATGCTCATCGAGGGATTCTTCAGGGGTGCTGGTACCCTCCTGGGGTAGTCTATCATTATTTCATTCCGCTACCATGTTGATGGGGGGGGGGGGTTTGGGCCTCCGGCCACCTGCACTCACCAGACGAAACGCGGAAGCAGAGCTTCCACTTCACGCCGGTATTCTGTGAGGTCGTGGTACCACCCCGGTTTGAGCCGGCCCATATGTGCAACAGCAAAGCTGCCGCGTGGCTCTACCACTGTCATTTATAACGGTTAATAAATATTTATATATACCTATTTTTAAATTCTCTGCTTTTACTTATGTTATAGTTAAGTTATAGTAAAATATGTGAGTATAGGAATAATATTTACTTTGCTGTTGGGATTTTGTTCCAGTTAATGGTCTTCATCTTGGTCTTGGGTGTGGGGATTTCTTGCTGAGGCAGGCGCTCAAGGGGCGCAGGCGCAGGTGCGGGGGGAGGGCGGCGCGGGAGGCGTGGAGCCCGCTGGTGGAGGTGGTGGGGGCGGCCCGCGTGGTGCCAAAGGGGGCGGCGCGGGTGGCGCGGGGGGGCGCTGCGGCTACTGAAAAGAAATGAGAGTAATATTTACATTTATACAAACTTTTTTATAGAATAAGGTTGACATGCGAGCACACAGTCCACCCGACGATAAGTGAATGGAAAGAATCAAAATGTAGATGTATTGTTACCCCTCAGAAGGCTAAGATAGAATGCCTAGTTTCCAGTAAAAAGGATCTCCGGTTCTCTACACTCACCATACGAAACACGGCAGCATTGAGTTGCCTGATTGTATGTGGTTGCTGTGGCCCATAGACATCTACATCTATCCTCGATTACAAATCAAAATGCAGATGCGTTGTAACCCGTGAGGATCAAGATGGAATGCCTCGTTTCCAATAAAAGGGGTCTCCAGTTTTTTACACTCACTATACGAAACACGCACTCACTATACGAAATAGCATTAAGTTGCTATTTTACTCTGGTATTCTGTGAGAGCGTGGTCCTTCTCCGGTCGAGTTGACCCACTCATGCTACACCTATTGGTTGCGCGGAAAAAGAATCGGGTACTCTCACATTTTTTCGATTGGTTATTGTTTGCCAGTGTCTCTTTCCGTCCTACTACGCATGCCATTCCACACGCACTGAAAGGGGTAAAGCTAAATTATGTAGCGCGAGTTTGGTCGCCAATGAGAAGCGCGCCCCGCCGAGATAGTAGTGCTAAAAAGGCCACTCATATATGGAATCGCACTGCCGCCGCTCTTCTTGCATCATAGTTTGAAGACTACGCTAGTTGTTACTGCACCTCTGTGGCAGTCGGCCAGAGAACCGCTAGAAGTAACCGCGTCGCGTGGTGCAATCTGTCATCACGCACCGTTGCTCTTCCAACGCACTACAAGACCAGGAGCGTCGTCGACGAGGCCACAAAGAAACCCACCCCGGTAAGTTTAGCGGTTCAAGTAGAAACTCCTTCGAGACACTGGCAAAATAACAGATTTTGGAATAATGAGTGCATTGTCCAAGGCTGCCGCGCGCCACGTCAGCCATCTTGTCTTGGTTGCAAGAAACCGCACATACAGTCCACATAGTAACATCTCGCATAATAAGGTCAAATCCCGACCCGGAATCGAACCCGAGAACTCTTATCGCCGAAAACCATTTATGGTCATTAGCGCATCATTTTTTCTAGTTCTTACGAGCCGGATTAGAATCGGGCTATTGGCCCCACTATTTTTCTGATTCCTTCGAGCGGGATTCGAGGAGACAGTCTGTGGCTCAACCACCTATACTACTTATATAGCTGTAGCATGGCTTGACACGTAATTTTACCAAAGCGTAGTAGTTCTATAGCTATTTTCGAGATGTTTGTGCTGTTAGCTTATGCGACTCTTATAGCTTCATCTGACTCAGAGCTCATTAGTAATTCTATATAATAGTAGTGCCGTTATATATAAAAAGCCCTCGTTTAAGTATGGTGGGGGTAAAAAAGAGAAAAGAATAAAATTGTTAACCAACCTGCAGGAGGTGGTGGTGCTGGCGCCGGCGGTGGCGGAGGGGGCGGCGACAGGGCTCTCTGCAAGCTCTGTTTCCTGGCCGCACCCGACGTATCCCTGTGCTGGCACATGCATCCTACTTTCGCCTGGAACAATAAACAGTTTATTAATTGTACTTTCCTAAATCCTACTTTCGCCTGGAACAATAAACAGTTTATAAACAGTTTATTAATATTGTCGATAGACAATCATGGGTTAAATAAAGGGAAACGTGTTGAATGGTCAAAGTAAAAAAATGACTTTGAATAACAATTGTCCTCTAGACTGAGTGTCGGTCACGGCAGCCAGACTCAACGGAGACTAGCCTGCTCCGTTGCTTCTGCGCAGAACATGATTATAGTACCCAAGTATGTGCAAAGGCACAGGTACACTCTTTATTCCCTCACTCTCATAGTCCAATGGTATGGCAAACCGACACAACTGAAGAGAGATCAGGCGCAGGGTCAATGGCTTTACGTGCTTTCTTTTTTCGAGAGCTCTGGTGAAACACTACCAACATCATGACTCTGGGCTGCTAGTACTCTTACTAGCAGCCCAGAGTCAGAATTCTTTCAGATTTCTTAACAGAAAAACCTTATAACTGATTTTTCCCCGACTCGGATTCAAACCCAGGACCTTGTGAACGCGTTTGCAGCGACTACTAAACATACGAGGTAAAAAATGTTAAACTCGCGTCAGGACAGGTGACCCTGATCGAAAATTCGTAAGACGGATGGAGAAAGAGAGACAGTCGGCGCGGCGTAAGAGAGGGAGTATCCCCTCTCTTTCTACGGCGCGGTGAATATGTATGCCTGCGCCTGCTGTTTCGTTTAGGCGGCGTAGGACGCTTGCGCGAATCTTCGTGTGTGATAATTAAAGCAATTTGTGTAAAATTATTCCCTAATCATTCCAAAATATCAAAAATGCAAAACGTTAATATTCAAGTTTTCACTTCTTCCGGCACTCCCAGTGTTCCAACCCGTCGTTTTTTTAATTACATTCTATTCTGAGCTTTTTTCGAATAGAGCCACTTTACTCGCAAACATAATTCCGGAAGGGCCTCTGCACAGTCATTATCATCATCATGACAGCCCTTCACAAGTCCACCGCTGAACATAGGCCTCTCCCAAGGTATGCCACAAAGCACGGTTCTGAGCCACCTGCATCCATTCACTTCCTGCATATCTTACCAGGCCGTCACTCCATCTAAAAGTTAGCCGCCCCGCACTTCGGCTACCAGTACAAGGTTGCCACTCGGGAACCTTTTTTTAAGATTATCACGTAAAGAAACCCCGAGCTTATAATAGCCAAGATGTATCAGTAGCATATTTAAAATAGTGATGACGATTAATTAAATAGCCCATCGGTGTCAGTAACTAGGAAGCTGTCCACTATTGCACGTCAGTAGAATTGAAAGAAGAAAGTAGTATCTATTCATGCTTGCTATAGTACTGCAATTTCGAAAAATATAAAGGTTTGAAGTTTGTCCACAGTTTGACATTAGGGATCATTCTAAAAGATGACTTTAAGTGATGTTGACGTTTTTCCCACTGCTCAGTGCTCGTGGAAGTGAAGAGTTCCACGTTGTATTAATTTAAAATCACTAGATGATCTCAATAGATAGAAGTGTTAAAACTGACCCACAGTTAAGAGCCTCAAGTATTCTGGATATTTCGCATTTATTTTAGATTAGTTCTTTTTCAATAGTAATTTAGGAATAATGAACATGTATTTGGAATATTTTGCACTTGGTACAATCATGCTGTAGCGTATGATAGCCGCAGCCCTAATAGGTAAGCTAAACCGGGGAAGCCCCACGTTCTCTGATAATACCAGTGTAAAAATAGCATTACAGTGTTGCTGTATTTCATATGGAGATATCGAGGCATTTCAACATAGTCCTCAAGGGTGACAACGTATATGCATTTTGTTTCTTAATCAAGTATAGATGTAGATTTGTATGGGCCATAGCATTCAGTTACTATCAGGTGGACCGTATGGTCGGTTGTACTGTTACAAAAAAAATAGTTTTGGTACTTACTTGAACACTTGGAGCTCGTAGTAACTTGGCAGCATCTTCTCTGCTCTCCAATAACGTGGCTCGGTGGACCAGCGTCTCGGCTGTATCCCAGATTATGTCACTGACCGGTTCTTTAGGGTCTAATTTGAGCAAATGCTGAAGGATGCTTAGGAAGGGTATTTCTTGAGGTGTGTCTGCAACCTGTTCAATTCATTTATATGTTTGTATTAAAAGTTCAAAACAAAATTTATTTAATAGTACATCCATAATTTATAACCAATTTTTGGGAATAACCAATTGATTCATAATTCTCAATCAACTCTCACAAGGCTCGCGGTGACAGAATTCCTTACCGACGGGCGTTAAGCCCTAATTAGTTACGAACTTTAAAATTTACGAAATGTGCTCAGCCTTTGAACTGTTTCTTTTATTTTGTTTGGATCACGTTGCAAGTTTAGAATGCTTTAGAATGGGAAATTAAATAGCAGTGTAGTGATTCTGTGTTACATATAGTATGGCAAACGAGGCATTAGTCCTCAGGGGTAACAATGCATCTGCATTTTGATTCATAATCAAGAATATATGTAGCTGTCTATGGACCATCAGGTGGGCTGTGTGCTCACTTGTTACCCTTATTCTATACAAAATCATTTATATGCTCACCTGTTTAAGTATAGCGTAAAACACATCGAGGTGTGAGTTGAGATTAATTCCTCCAGGACCTTGAGCTTCGTCGCTTTCCCTCTGCTCTTCGAACACGTCAAGCTGCACGCCCAGGTCTGGATGGCTGGCAGCTTCATGTCTGCAAATAGAGATATAAGTCAATAACATTATAGCGGGTTATCATTCTGATGACAAATTTATTAGGCGTTCAGTGCGCTAAGAACGGCTGCCTGAGACAATTTAGTAATCCCAACCAGTGCTGTCATTTAGTAATTTAGCATCGCCCACTGCACTTAGGGTGGGTACACACTGTGCGATTTTGTACTAACTAAATTATTAGCTATATCAAAATTATTTATTAATCAAGATTATACATAACAGCATACATAGCATCAGTACACCAATACACAATAGAACGAGAAAAAATGTACAACAGACGATCTTATCGTCTGGTTCTGGTTCTGGAAGCGATTATTTCCAGACAACCACAGAAATCGTAATAATTCTACTAAGTACTATTGTTTACAGAAAATTGCATAAAGGGTAGGGTGTACATAAATTAGACAATTAAGTTAATAAAAATATAAATACACACAGATGATGAGGTAGGATAATATTGACCGGCAATCAGAAAAACATTTAGGACTGTTCTTTTTAGAAAGAAGAACCGCGTTGGCTTCTTTCCACGAAGAGGGAAAGAAGCAGTTTTCACGGAATTGTTTATGATAGAAGTAATTACAGGGATAAGAAAAATCTAGGAGAGGAATAATTATTAAACACGTTTTACGACTAACATAGTCAGGGCGTCCTGAATTCGAATAGATGGAGAGATTGGCTCTCTCAACATCACAGCTGTCAAATAGACTAAAATAAAAAGCCAAAGAGTCCGGAGTGAGAATATTAAAGGGGACATTCAAAATATTTTGCTTAGCTTGGTAATCAATGCAAGACGTAGAGAAGAAGTGCTGATTAAGCTAATTAAGGTCAATGTTATGGTGACTTAGGATTTCACTTTTCATTCCGTCATCTGGTTACGAACACATTCATGAATATAGCGTCGTTGTGCATTTCACACACAAGTTATTGTAAAGATTCCATATTTTTTATTTCTCTTTTGCTTTAACCCGATTTTTCTTATCAATTATTTGTTTTATTTCTTCATTTAATCATGGAAATGGAAAATGATTAACGCACACTGATCGAACAGGAGCATGATTATCATATAGCTCAATTAAAAATGAATTGAATAAGGCTACAACGTTCCACTAACTAAAGTTACACTGAAGTAAAGTCATCGATTTAGCTTTAGGGCGTCTAATTTTGTAAGACAAAAAGGTGAGGTCATGATAACTCTAATCTATAAATGGAATAAAAATGGATAAATGAGCCTGTTGTAGTTTAAATGTAATTTTTCAATTTTAAGTTTAAATCAAATAATAAACTATTAATTATAATAGGTACATAGTAGGTGGGTGATGTACTTGCCAACAAACTGCCCCGCAGTTTGGAGAAAGTAGGTAGTATAAGAAACAAACGACTTTATTTTCGTGTAATAAAATATAAAAAAGCTATATTATGGTTCACCTCGCCCTCACAGAATACCAGCGTAAAATAGCAGCTTAATACTGCTGTGTTTCGTATGGTTAGTTAGATATTCGGAGACCATTATTATAAAGGCATGTTAATAATCAGGGGTGAAAAAGCATCGGCATTTTGATTCTTAATTAAGGATAGTAATTGGGTCACAGCATTCATTTACCATCAGGTGGACCGTATGTTCGTGTCACCCTTATTCTTTAAAAAAATTAGGCCCGAGACAATAGGGTTCCCAAAGTAGTAGTCTTTGAAAAGTAAAAAGGAATGTGATTAAAACCATGTATCATATCTTCCAGCCGTGTGACGTTGGTCCTTTTGCTCGTCGGGGATATAAATCTGCCGTAAACGACAGTATACCGATACCTCCATCCATTGAAAGTCATAAGTCGCCTCCTACGATGTGATGGAATTATCTTACGCCGCCTATTCACGACAGACCTTGTGCTCTCTTCTGTCAAGTTTATTTGTTATCTGTGGTCTAATTTTGTGAATATTTTGCGTAAGTGTGAGTGTTCAAACTACGACCGAGAGCGGTAGGGCTACCAGAATGTTTATGCAAGGCCCCATGGTAAACCACCAACGACAAATCAATGTTTTTAATTTAAAACAATTTTAAAACAATTTTGTCTCTAACTTTCTCTTATCGTTTTCATTGCCCACGCAAATATTAAAAAGTTTCCAAATATTAATATTGCATAAAAGTCTACCAAAACAAACGTAAAGTATGTTTTTGTACGATATTGTTCGTTGACGTCACCGATGCGGCGCCATTTCAGATATTTGGCGCGAACGGATGCGCCTACTCAATCCGACGCCTTTGTCGTTTTGGAACTGCGTTTGTTGTACACGAAACAAAACATGTTTTCCAAGAAAAAGTTTGTAAAAAATTTCTAATGACATCTTAAAGTAATTAACTTTCTTTTAATTTAAGATTTATATTTTTAACACAAGTTTTTAGCGGTACCTTAATAGCCGGTAGACTACTGATCTTGTATTATCGTTTAAATACTACCTGTATATATTAACCCAACAATTGGTAAAAAAGGAAAAGCACATTTATTTTCCTGAGCTCTGTTTAAATATAATGCTTATGTAAATTTCTTTTAAATCTTTTTTTTTTACGCTTTGAACACCACACATTTAATAAAACTATTATTTACGGATTTTATCGCGTTTAATTACTACTTTAACTTATTTTTATTATCCCACGCATGTTTCGGGTGCTTTACAGCAACCGTGGTCTGAGGGGGGGACTGAGATGTTTGACGTCCCAATGTCATAGTTAGTCCGGCTACCTTCAGTTTTTGAATATTAATTTTTGGTCCGATTTACGCAATACGAGTTTATCCCCACCATTACATTAGATTTGATAAAGCACAAATCATCGCAAAAGAACACCGATTCCTACCAAGGATGATACGCAAGACTATTGAAATTAAAAAACATCCAAATTACAATAAAGACGATGGATAGGTGCTACCATCTGCTTGGGATCCTATAATTAACAAAATTAAACCCAAACCCAAGAATATCACTGCAAGACTTCATGATGTTATAAGCTCGTTTTGCGTAAATCGGACCAAAAATTAATATTTAAAAACTGAAGGTAGCCGGACTATGACATTGGGACGTCAAACATCTCAACAACACACAACACAAGAAGATCGAGCAATATTTTTTATGGTATTCTAATTCTAAGCCATCGCTTGACAACCACCCCACATGATATAAGTGGTGATGCAGCCGAAGATGGTAAAGAGCACTGACTTAACAAAAGCCTATTCACTCTTGCCTTGAAGACACCCAAATTGTAAAGACGACGATGAGTGACGAATTTTATAGCTCAGCTCGCTCAGAAGCAGAAACTGAAACTTTTTTATTCAATATAGATTGTAAACAATACTTATTGAAAGTCACTTTTTATAAATATTTAAATAATAGCTTATATGTATAGCAAATGATAGCTCCATTTTGTATTCTAGTAAATACAAACTGGTTCATAACTACGGCTCATAAATTTAATCGGAGCGGTCCGGTTCAATTTGTTTTGTTGTCACAGATACAAAAACATAATCCTAAGCAGGTAAATAAAAAAAGTTACAAATTACTTTTTAGTAACTTCTGCTCGTGGTTCCTCAGCGCGAACACAGAAACCGGTTTATATGATCGCTAATTTTTTTCTTTAACTTTTCAACGGTTTAAGCGTTCACATTTTCAGGTGTACAGCCATCTACCGGAAGCCATTAGATCTTTCTACTTTTTTATAGAATAACGGTGACAAACGAGCATACATTAAGCTGTGGCCTATAGGATACCTATATTTATCGTCAATAAGAATCAAAATGCAGATGTGTTGACACCCCTGAGGACTAAGACAGAATGCCTCGTTTCTGGTAAAAACAGTATCTACACCCACCATACGAAACACAGCAGCAGTAAGCTGTAGTTTTACGCTGGTATTCTGTGAGGACGTGTTTCTGCCCCGGTTGAGCTGACCCATTTTAGCGCAATCTAATAAACGGTATGGCAGCGCATAAAATACGAACAAACTAACATAAATTTTTACATATTAGATTATATAAGTATACGGATGTGATAAAAGCGAGATAGATGTTTCAGAATTATGCCAAATGGAAGTCCGTAGCATCTGCCTACCCCTCTAGGTAACACGCGTGAGAGTTTATGTTTATGTTAATAAAGAAGTTTTAAAAATAAAGTACTACTTTCATATAATAAAATAAGGTGAAGGTTCTCAATTCGACTTATTTATTTTATGTGTGTTGTTGTATCGTTTTATGTGTGTTGTTACCACAGAACTTTTTTCTAGGCGAAAGGATTTTGATGATTTTTTTTAATTAAAAGCTGGTGCTTCTCATGTCTCAGGTCTCATATAAATTTGCTCAAGATCTAATCAGTAGTTTTGGAGTATTCCTTAATATGGCGTATTTTATTGACTTTGACTAAATTGATGATGTTCTCATTTTAATTGTATTTAAGTCGGTTGTACAAAATTTTTATTTAAGTATGTATTTTTTTATAGAATTAAGGTGACAAGCGAGCACACAGTCCACTGATGGTAAGTGAATGCAGTGGCCCATACACATCTATATTTTTTCTCGGTTAAGAATCGAAATACTGATGCGTTGTTACCCCTGAGGACTAAGATGGAATGCCTCGTTTCCAGCAAAAAGGATCTTCGATTCTCTACGCTCACCGTTCAAAACACAGCAGCATTAAGCTGCAGTTTTACGCTGGTATTCTGTGAAAGCGTGGTCCTTCCCCGGTTGAGCCGACCCATTCGTGCTACAACCATATTATATCTGCAGCGTGGCTCTACCACTGTCGAAAATTTTACCACTTGTTCCTTACCTCATGAGAGTAGTGGTGTAGATAGCTGCTACTAGAAAACGTTAGCTTATTACCACGTTTAAAATCAGCCTAAAATATTGACATTTAATTCATAGGAGAGACTTATTTTTCTAATATGGAGGAGATTTCCAAAATGGCCATGCTTTCTAACTAAATACAGTTCGTTGAATATATAAGGTCCAATCATGGACCTATGGGCGACGTAAGATCAAACCTGCGCGGTCTGAAAAAAACACAGTGTACAGTACCGGAAGAGAAAGAAAGGAATTTCTCTAGGTGATGAGACTTTTTCTGTCAAGCAGTTCGGTTAGGTGCCAACCCCCCTTTCACCGGTTTCTGACGCCAAACAGCAGCACTTGTATTGCTGTATTCTGGTTTGAAGTCTATAAGGAGCCACTATAATAACACGCTATAAGGCATTCCATCTCATTCCTCAGAGGTGACAACGCATTTGTAGTCGTCTTTATCTGAAGTTGGCTGCACGCAAGTAACCACTTACCATCAGGCGCACTCTAAGTTTTTGTCACTTAAGTTTAATTAAAAAGTGAAGCATTTCTCTAAGCCTTTATAGGTGACAACGCAATTTGCATTTTGACTCTTAACCGAGGATATAAAGAGGTGCTTATATGTCACTGCATATACTTAAGATCACCTGATCTTAAGTGACCACCCGGTCTACGCTCATTTCTCACTCTTGTATAAAATATATTATCTCTGTGATAAAAATAAAATTAACAAAAATTGTAATCGTTTGTATTCTGAGTTTTTGTGCGATACTCATGACAAGTCCCACCGATCATCCTTTGTAAGTTAATACGACAATACGGTCGTTTTTTATGCTTTGGTATTTAGGATTCTCACTATCGCTGAATTATCCGGGCTCGCGTACCACATTAGTGTTACAGATACTGAGAGTGAATTTATAATTCCATATAAAAGCAGATAAAAGTTGAACTTTAAAACTTTATATGTATATTAAGAAACACTCTACATGCAATAATAAGTTAAAACAGTAATTCAAAAGTAAAAAGTCTATTGAAAAAAAGTAAATTCAAATGTTATACGTCACTTCCATTACTAAGATAAATCTTAATATACCCCATAATATGGGGTGTCATTAGATAATGTGTTGAAATCCATCAAGCAGTTTAGTCTATAGCGTGCCAAAGAAATAGGTATAAGTACATACATACATACATACTCTCGTAAAACATTACTCGCGTTTTTGGATAGTCGGATAAAAACAGAAAATAGAATTATGAGTAATAATAATATAAATAAACACCTTCTCTAACGGACTCTTAGATTTGGCACTACTGGTAGACTCCAAAAATATTCTAAAAAAAGTAAGAGATTGGTATCCAAATTTCAAGGCAAAAATTACGTACCTTTTTATATAACTGAATCAACCCACCTACCTTTTATATGACTCATTAATTCAATGTAATAGGAAATAATAGTGAACAGAAACGTCACTCTTGAGTAACTCACCGTAAGTTGCTTAATGTTGGTAGTAAGCCGAGACCTGAAAAAAAGATAACAATATTATGGTTGTTTCGATAAATAAAATTTTGATTGATAATACAAAAATAATGTCCACCAGAATGCCGTGGTGCCCACCAAATGCAAGTGACTTTTTGTGAACAGGTAAATAAATAAAAAACAGTAAATAAGATTAATATTTACAATCGGTGGTTGTGAAAAACATCATAGGGAACTTCTTCTAACTTATGGAACTCTTGTACGATAAAATCGCAGAAAGTAATACATGATATAAATACTGAAATAGTGATTTTTTTATAGAATAAAGGTGACAAACGAGCACACAGTCCATTTGATGGTAAGTGGATGCTGTGGCCCATAGACATCTACATTTATTTTCAATTAAGAATCAAAATGCAGATGCGTTGCCAGCCCTGAGGATTAAGATGGTAAGCACCTTTCCAGTAAAAAGGGTCTCTTATTCTCTACACTCATCATACGAAACGCAGCCGCATTAAGCTGCTATTTTACGCTGGTATTCTGTGAGAAGGTGGTCTTGCACAACCACGATATAGCTGCAGCATGGCTCTACCGCGTAAAAGCTACCAGAGCCTAATTATTAAGGGTACACCTACGAACTTAAAAGTAGAAGTTTCGACTAGATACTTTCGTGAACACACAAACTTTTTTTACGCTTACTTACGGGAAGATATGTTTTAATCGTCGTGATAGGCCGTCAGGTTGGCGTATTGCTCGTCTGGCGTAAAGGGAACAGTTATATCGCGGGAAAAAGGATTGCTATACCGCCATCTATCGGAAGCAATGAGATCTTTTTAGTCACCGCCTACAATACCTTCGGAATGATATGTGGCGATTGGTTCCTCACGTCGCCACCACAATACAATAATGTGAATATCATTTTTATTTTTAATCTAAATTCCTAAGCCAATAATCTGTATATTAAGAAAAGACTAGTATTTACGAATTTTATCGCGTATATTAACTTCTTTCATTTTCCTAACGTTTCGATCACTTTACAATACCCGCATTATATAGGGGACAATAATAAAATCCGTAAAAAATTAGCTTTATTTAAACGTGCCATGTTTGCGTAAACAAGAAATCAATCTGCATATTGTTCATCTTATTTTTAGATCGGTTCGCTTTCACAGAACATGAACGTAATGCAACCTAATGCCTCTATTTCTTGTGAGTGTAGAGAAGCGGAGACCCTTTATAATGATAACGTATTCCATTTTCGTTTTCAGGGTGATAATTCATCTACATTTTTGTTCAAATTCCAAATTCCAATTCCAATTTATCATCCAAAATAAATGTAACAAGTGATGCGCCACTAGATTTATTAACCATCAGATAAACTGTGTGCTTGTTTGTCACCCTTACTTCTATAAAAACCACTAACTATTTTCTATTTAATTCTTGCTGAGAGCAATCGAACTCACCTATAAACTCATTCCGTACACGTATTCTATCTGGGAGCCTGGGTGCGGATATGATGAGGCAGTTGATGAAGGCCACCAGCGCCGTCTTGTAGTCTGTTGTGGTGGCATTCTTCAGCTCTTCAACCACCACGCTCAGTCGGTACCGGTCGCCTTTTAATGTCTTGAAATCAAACGATGAAAATATTTGAGTTTTTTTTTACTTATTATCAGTGCTTCATTGCAATTCTACGGTGACAAAGTAAAGTAATAAATTAACATTTAAGAGAAAGTTTTAGGGCAAGGAAGTGTCCACCGCGTTGCCTCAATGCGTGTTGGCGAACTTCACATGTCTTCGAAATACTTTTTATTATTCCTCAGACATGCAGGTTTCCTCACGGTGTTTTCCTTCACAGCCGAGTACGTGGTAAATCAGAACTTAAAATTGCAATTAACAATTTCATTGGTGCCGACATAAATCGAATCCGGGTTACATGCGTATACTTCCGGGACGTATGTAGGCTGTAACTAACTTTTTTAACCGTTAACCCCTATTTTTGAAGAAATCTTTTTCCTGGTAAGAACCAGCAAGAAACTCAGCGGGACATTTTTATGGAGAAAAGAACAAATTAGAAAGAACATATCTCATCATCAAAATCAACCAACTTTATTTATTGGTAGCTAACAAAATCATTGTATGTATTTGCAACCTTAGCCTTAAAAATCTTAAAGTTGCTCTTTTTATGTTCATTAAATTTCAATAGAAAGAGAGAGATATAGAGATAATTAAAACTTAAGTAAGGGATAATAAACATTATAAGTGAGACAGTTGCTTCTTTTAAATTTATGTCCTGTGTTATGTAGAGTTAATTACCTTATATCGATCTAGTGTGTCAACAGCCCTAGCGTAGCCGTCGGCATTGTAGACACATAGCGCAGACAGCAGTTCGAACACCTGAAAATAATGTTAACATTATAGTCAGAGAATTTTATGATCATACCTACGTTTTTTATTATATAGAATAAGGGTGACAAACGAGTACACAGTCCACCTGATGGTAAGTGGATGCTGTGGCCCATAGACATCTACATTTATCCGCGATTAAGAATCAAAATTCAGATGCGTTGTCACGCCTGAGGAATAAGATGGAATGCATCGTTTCCTGTAAAAAAGGTCTCCCGATCTCTACACTCACCATACGAAACACAGCAGTATTAAGCTTGCTATTTTACGCTGATATTCCGTGAGAGCGTGGCCCTTCTCCGGTCAAGCCGACCCACTCCTGCTACAATCATAATATAGCTACAGCGTGGCTCTACCATGTATAGAACAATATTTTGAAAGTTCTATAATAATATACAACTTTCAAAATATTGTTTATAATTCTATGTGGTTTATAGTATATAGATTTACTTCATTTCGCCGGTATAGTGTCCGTGTAAAGAATACTCTATCCCATATCAACCCGTTGGTCTCGTAAGAGGCGACATATATGTAGAAACTTAAACAGCACTTTAACAAATTCATTATAACGCACCCGCAGTCCCCTTCGTGAGTGGAATTTCGTAAAATTCGTTCTCAGTTTAACTCAAGATGACAAAAATAATAATTTCGCCAAATTTCAAACCTGTAGGAGCTATAGATTAAAAGTTTTTTTTGTTCTTTATATTGCCCCCCCCCCCACTGCCCTTTGTGGGTGGAATTTTTGGTAATTTTAACATACCAAAAACAATATAATGGCCAAGTTTTATAGCTATGAGAATTACAGTTCAGAACGCAATAAAGATTTTAAATAAATAAATAAATTATTAAGTAGTATCGGCTATAAGAAAAAAGTCGTCACGCAGCAATCTGGTTCAAAAAACAAGACCTTCTCAGAAAAGAACCGGCATGAAATTTCTGGGGTCTTTGATTTTATTTAAATGCTATGTTTGAATTTTGTGTACAAATGTCAACTACATATAAACATTTTTTAAATGTCAATTCAATATATTAGTGGCCAGATTTAAGGCAATTAAAAGTTGTTTTCACACATCAATGTCTCCAACATATAGAGCTATTAGTATGAATTTTCAACAGAATTTCCATAACCATTTTTCAATTTTATGTGACAGCACGGTACGATTTCATTTCATAGGTTTTAATTTTTTTCATAGTACCTAATTTTATTTCTAAAATAAAGTTAGCTTAAGTTACTTCTTATAGCATCAGCTATCTGGCAGTGAAAGTCCCATTAAAATCCGCCCAGCCGTTTCGGAGATTAGCAGGAACAAACAGAGAGACATAAAATTTTTACAAATTTTTAGACATTAAACATTTTATACGTGGTAGAGTCACGCTGCAGCTATATTAATGTTGTAGCATGTATGGGTCGGCTCGACAGCGGAAGGACCAAGCTTTCACAGAGTACCGGCGTAAAATAGCAGCTTAATGCAGCTGTGAGTCGTATAGTGAGTGTAGAGAACCCGAAACTCTTTTTACTGGAATCGAGGCTTTCTATCTTTGTCCTCAAGGGTGACAGCGCATCTGCATTTTGATTCGTAATCGAGGTTGAATGCAGATGTCTATGGGCCACAGCATCCACTTACCATCAGGTGGACTGGACTGGTGGACATACATATGCATTTAGTAAAAAGCCGTTATTTTTTGACATTACAAACAGATACTCAATTTTATTTAATTGTATAGATTTTATGCATTTACTCAGAAAAGCAGGAATTAAATGGCGTAATGGCGGTGGCGTAAAAGAATATTCACTACACTATACCGTCCCGTGGGTGTCGTAAGAGGCTTTAGAAGCATAGAATACTATAGTAAATACATAAGAAACATTTAGCATTTTAGAATGGAGATACCGTCTATAGATAATTATATCTTTTAATAAAGAATCAAAATGGAAGTGCGTTGTCACCCTTTAGGACTAAGATAGAATGCTTCATCTTCATAGTAATGAATAGAAATCAATGGTTTTTATTAAATAAAGATTATTACATAATACTTATTGAGTAATTTTTTTTACTAAACACCGGTTAAAAGTAAAAAGCGTTCCCTGTTCTCCTGCCATATAATGCTATAACATTGTGTTTTTTTTTTATAATAAGGGTTGCAAACGAACACACAGTCCACCCGATTGTAAGTGGATGCTATAGCCCAAAGACATTTACATTTAATCTCGATTAAAAATCAAAATGCAGATGCGTTATTCCCCCTCAGGAATAATACAGAATGCCTCGATTCCAGTAAGATGGGTGTCCAGTTTTCTACACTCACCATATAAAATACAATAGCATCAAGCTGCTAATTTACGCTGGTATTTGGTGAGAGCGTGGTCCTTCCCCGGTCGAGCCAACCCATTCATGCTACAACCATAATATAGCTGCAGCGTGGCTCTACCACATATGATGTTCTGTGCATGGTCCTTCGCAGATCAGGCAGACCCATTTATGCTGCAGCTATAATACTGCAGTCCACTGCCTCGTTGGTCGAGTGGTTGTAAACGCAGTTACTGATTATGAGGTCTTAGGTTCAAATCCCTGTTCGGGACAATATCAGATTTTGGGTTTTCTGTCATGAAATTTTCAGTAGTAGCCCGAAGTCTGGAAGTTAGCGGTGTTTCATCGTGCTTCGAAAAGCACGTAAAGCCGTTGTTCCTGCGCTTGATCTCCCTCTAGTCGTGTCGGATAAACCTCTCAGCGCACTTTAAGAGTGAAGGAACGGAGAGTGACCCGTGTTTGCGCAAACACCTGGGCACTGTAATCCTGCCCTGGGCAGATAGCTAGTCTCCGGTGAGACTAGCCGCCGTGACCGAAGTTAGGTCTGGACGATATTACAATACTCTAGCATCTACCACTCAAACCATAGCTGTACATGATCTGCCTTGGTCTTTTAGTTACCTGCTTCTTGACGGCAGCTGCGGGCGAGGTGAGCGCCGCCGCGAGCTTGCCCGCGTATTCGGCATGCTCCACTATGTAGTCCAACCCCACACGACTCTCCATTGCGTCTCTGGGAACAAACAGATAACTCTATTAGGTCCGAAACAATGAATTGGAGTTATCACATATATAAATTCAAAAATCATTTTCTCATTTGATTTAATTACACAAAAAGACATAGAATCATTATAGCATAGTACGCAGCGAATACGTACAAAGGTACTAGTTAACTTGGTGGTAGGTAGATACAGTAGTCTGTAGACATCTACATCTGTCCTCGGTTAAGAATCTAAATGCTGACGCGTAGCTTTGTGGTTCTCTACACTAACCATACGAAATACAGCAGCATTAATGCTGCTATTTTACGCTGGTATTCTGAGCGTGGTCCTTCCCTGATCGAACCGACCTATTATGGCGACAAGCATATGGCTGATATATTATATAATTTATTGAAATATAGTACAGAAGACCTATTATATAGATTAAAAGAGGCATGCTTAGTGCGTACATTTCTTACTGATAAATAGTATTTGATAATACAGACATACGGATGTTACAAATACGGACATAATGTTCACCAAATTATGTGAAGCATCTTAGGTCCTAAAATTTTACACGCACAAAAAATCTCGTATATCAAGGTCCGACAATCGGTGCCAGTATTCAGCGCACGACAAGACCACACACCACAGGGTTTTTGTTACATGCTGTATGTTTGCGTATATATCGAATATGAAAAACAAAATTGTAGGATCTACGGTGCTTGCTTCACACGTTTGCAGTGTGACATTACGTGTGTTTTTTAAAACATTAAGTTTATACAGGGTTATTTTGCAATAACCAGCCAAAGCAGAGAAGGTTTAGAATATATAACACAGGCAAATGGTGAAGAAAAATTAATTAATAAAAATCTCAAACGTTCTGTCCGTTTATATCTTTTGAATTCGAAATTCGTGATAATGCATTATTTTAACAGATTTTACAGTGCACGTACACATTCGAAAGAGTTGATCAATAGGCAAAAACGTTATTGCCCATAAATCACATTCAATTTGGGATAATTTAAAATAAAGGTCGAAGCCTTATTTACTCGTATTTTCAAAAACTGCAATAACGGTACATCATTATTTATATATTTGAACTTTCGTTTAAAATTTGGTTATTCTTTGAAAAACAATGTAAATATAAGTATATAAATACATAGATTGTAATAAATATTACACAAATTATAATCAATAAAAATTACAACCTAATTAAACCTCCCTTAATTTCTGAGAGGGCTATAGATCGAATAATCAGCCTCGCAGCTTCATTGAAATCGAAATATTTTATTCCTTATACATAAATTTCCTCTCAAAGTTTTTCTTCACTACCGAGCACGTGGGACGTGATGAATTAGTATTTAAAATTACAAGTAAGAATCAAGTTGGTGCCAGCGGGGATTGAATCCAGGTCACTCACACAGGTTAGTTTATTAATATTTTAATTATCCCTAGACTTGGCAAGTACTGTATGTGCAAATTATCTCCACTTTAAAACTTTTAATGATTTGTATCGTTAAAAGTTTTAAAATTGTTCGTTAAGAACTAAGTTTTACGTTTCTTTTAATTTTTGCTGACTCTTCTCTCTCAAAATTCGCCGGCCGTCACCATGCCCCCCTGCCCTCCCCCCTTGTTATACAACTACCACATTCTTTTCCACATCAGCTACTTAAATCGAACTAAATATATACAAGTTAATCCAGGGAACATTTCCAATAGCACGCTCTTAAACGCAGTGTAAGAAAGCTATAGAAAAACCTGTATAATCATAACATAATCATGTCATAACATTAGTGACTTTGTCGGGACAACGATATTGGGGGTTCAATATCCGTTTTATACTTGTGAAGATTTAAGAGTAGTCGTAAGATTTAAGAGTAGCGACTGTAGAAAGTGCCAGATTCATCTCATAGCTTCCTAAATATGGTGGTAAAATATTGTTAACGTCAGATGTAATATATTTACGAAAATTTAAATTAGGTACACAAAAACACGTTATTATATAATAATATATATTATTATATAATAATATAATTATAATAGTTTTATTGAAAATAGTGATGTACATTCTGTAAATACTAAGTATAAGCACGAGGAGTTATACCAGTTACTCGACTCCAAAGAGTCAATAATTTCTTTATGGGGCATTGTCAGTAATTCGTTAAATGGGTTTTTACTCCAGTCCTAGAAAATATGCAGGATCTATTTTTTATAGCATTGGGTGACAAACGAGCACACAGTCCACCTGATGGTAAGTGAATGCTGTGGCCCATAGACATCCACATTTTTGTCTAAATAAGGATCAAAATGCAAATGCGTTGTCACCCTTGAGGACTAAGATGGAATGCCCCGAGTCCAGTATTGTGACAGATGATACAGATTTGTGGTCTATCAAATCTGATGCAGTGATGGGGACGATCCTGTACTCACATCCTGTGTTCACAGGCTGCAGACTTTCCGTGATTATCAAATTTTAATATCAAAATATAATTGGCAAAAATTCCGTTTGCCCTTATAACTTCTTTATAACAGGTACATTCTATAATAATGATGTCTTGCATACCGAATTTCGGTCACGGCGGCCAGTCTTCAACAGATTATAGTGCCCAAGTGTGTGCACAAGCATAGGTGCACTCTATTCTCTCATTCTCATAGTCACATAGGACGGTAATCCCAACACGACCGGAGAGAGTTCAGGCGTAGGACCTACCGCTATACGTGTTTTCCGAGGCACAAGGTTGAATGAAACACTGCCAACTTCCTGACTCCGGGTTGCTACAGCGTATTTATTGCCAGAAAAACCCAATTACTGATTTTGACCCGACACGAGATTCGAACTCAAGACCTCATGATCAGTAACCGCATTTACGATCACTAGACTAACGCGGCAGTCTTATTTACCAAACCGGGGACATTGTAGTCGGCATTTATCGTTGCGAAACCCGGATGGAATTTCTAAAATTTCATCGGAGCCTTTGTCACCTGGCGTCCTTACCGCTCAATGCGATCGACATAGAACAACTATCTTGATCGGGAGTGGTCTAAGTAATAAGCCCTAGACTAATATGTTCTATTGCAGAGTTTTGATAGATTTTTCTATTGGAACAGAATGAAGACAGACAGGTGGTATATAAGACACATTATTTTAATACTATAATGATAAAGGTTGGTATGATTATTGCATTAGTATCGTTGGTGGTCGAAATTACACAACATACAGACATGGGTATGATAAACTGAACACATTATCTAATGCAGTAAATACATGTTATTTGTGTACATATATATTACAGTACATTTTTTTTAAATATATAAGACTCATTATCTTTCTTCTATAATACTAGCAACCCACCCCAGTTTCGCCTGCGTAGGACCTAATAATATGTTGTTATTTGTTTAAGATAATAAAAAATCATTTACTTTATCAATTAAATAAAAAAACTGCGTCACTGATACACGGGATTCGTGGGAGTGCCAAAATAATTACGTAATTATAGAGAAACCCGATAGCACTTTTTTGAGGGTGCACGTGCATGCTCATGTACCCTGTGCCTCGGAAAAGCAAAACAAGCATACATTATAATGTAATATCTGTTTGCTTTTAAATAATTACTTACTTTTACTGACATAGATCACGACAGATTTAAATTTTTATGTTGTTTTTACATATAAGGTCTTTACCTCATTAGGAATATTTTTGATGATTATAGTTCTTAGCACTATACCGCGGGACGAGGATTGTATACAGTTTGGAGTTTTTTTAATGTTACACATATTTCATATAATTATGTGTTCATCCATCCATTACAGCCTATTAAAGTTCACTGCTGAACATAGTCCTCCCCCATAGATTGCCTTACAGAGGGAATTTTGCCATAGTTGACACGCTTGTCGAGCGGATTGTCAACCGCAGTTTTTTTATTATTTTGAGTTGTTAGTATGAAGATGCTGCTGCCCATCATCTGTTTCAATTTCCCTCTAATAATTATGTACTACATAAAATGTTTTTAACTTCCACATATTATAGCTTCGATAAAAATGTTTGAATTTAAAACTCGCTTTCTGCTTCTTACTTGCGTCATGCGTCAAAGTGCAGGCTAGGCATACTTGTCAGCCCACGCATTCCTCTTATGAATGAGATTAAGCGCTTTACATTTACCACATTTCTAGCACGTTCTTAAAAGGGTATTTTCAAATTTTATTACCTAATAAGAGACTTGTAATATATTTGTTAATTAACCAAATTATCTCTTAACAAATTTTTCTGTAATTAATCGAGTAAAATCAGTGGAAAAATCCATTAAATTAGATGATTGTCAGTCACGTGACGGTTTGAAATAACAAGTGCCTAAAAAAGATACGTACCTATTTATTTAGTTTTATAAATATTTCTTTTTTTTAATAGAGCCTCTCCTATAACGGTAAACAAGCATTTAGCCTACCTGATATTAAGTGCTCATGAACAACTGAAAAAATCAAGACAGTTTTCCCTGTTTGCAGGTGCGTGGTCGGCCTTTTAAAAAGTAGTAGGCTCTTTTCTTGTAGGTTTCTAAGTGGTATTGTTCCAAAAAATAGCCTATGGAAGTTGATTTCACCTCTTTCCTTGTATATCCGGACCATTACCATCTACACTGCTCCGGCCTGGTACGCGCTTCTGAGCGACCCTCTGAGGCGGCGACTGCAGGCTCGGTCATTAAGGACGATCGTCGGAGCAGGTCGCTACGTCCGGAACGACGTCATAGCGGCCGATCTGTAAGTCGAGACTATCACCGACTTCGTGGCCCGTCTAGCGCGCGGCATGTTCGATCGTGCCGACAACGGGCCACATGACCATCTCAACGGCTTTGCGCCGTTGCACACTCGGCCCCCGTACGGGCGACCTCTTCCAAGAGAACTCCTCTCTATATCGATTAGAGAGTCGAGTAACAACCCCCAATGCCGCTGAAAGGCCAACTCAGACCTATTTAGATAACCTCCATCGATAACCTCCCTTTTTCCCGTAGTCGGTGAACTACGGGAAAA